CAAGCAATTTTCCTGCATCAGCCTCCTGAGTAGCTGGGATTACAGGCACGTGCCATCACACCTGGCTAATTTTTGTAGTTTTAGTAGAGACGGGGTTTCACCATGCTGGTCATGCTGGTCTCGAACTCCTGACCTCATGATCCACCTGCCTCAGCCTCCCAAAGTGCTGGGATTACGGGCGTGAGCCACTGCACCCAGCCTGCATTCTTTATTCAATGCCATGATATGCAGCTGTTCTAGTACAGGAATGACCTGCATTTGTGTTGCCTCTGATTTTCCTGTAAGAAAAAGACAATAAGCAAATACAAACAGAAGAAAAGGAGAGGGAGAGAAGCAAGAGTAACTGTAAAAAGTTACAGTTATTTATCAGGAAACCAGTTCTATGCGACCTTCCTATATCTAGCTGAATGTCCACAATCTTATTTAAAAGATGCTATTCTTAGGTTCAGTGCACAGGAATGTAAATAAGCACTAAAAGCAAAACTTCAGTGCTAACCACATAGCTGAAATACAAGCAAAATAAACCACACAGGCAGAACTTTGCCTATCTGAGCAATACGTTTGGACTGTTATCAATTGCTTCTCCACAGAAACCAAATTTTCACAGTGAACACCACCATTCCTTCCCTTTGCAGGGAAACAGACTGCAGGATGATTTGAAGAAGGACTATACTCCTGTGGCTCATTTTCTCCTTAATACAATGCACTTGCAATCACAGTGCTCTCGGTGTACTGCCTTTGGCCACATGGAAGCCCTAATCATTGGTGTGGTCTTGGTTTCAATGACAAGTGACATTTTCAAAATGAGAATTTTCATCTTTTTACCACCCATCTAAATCAGAGAACACTCACACTTAAAGGACTAGTTCAGTCTTTGCCTTACACCTGGGAAACCTGAGGTCAGGGTGATAAAACGACTTGTCTAAAGTCCTCCAGCTTTATTGATTGGTGGCAAAGCCGGAGCTGGAAACTTCCACACCTGATTTCCAGCCTAATGTTCTTCCCACCTCATCATTTAGTTCAACCCAATGACTATATAGTGAACGTCTGTACCAAACTACCCCCATTTGTTTATCGCTTTTCCTTTTTAAGTACTTGGTGTTTATTTTCTTCTGTCCGCTTAGCCTTTTTGCTAATGATCCCTTTCCACTTGCCAGTGTTTTTGTTTGGTCATCAAATGATCCCTTCACGCTAGTCTTTGAACATTGGCCAAAGGAATTTGAAGCCCAGTCCACTACAACCAAATCCACATAATTTCCAATTATTCCAAATTTCAGTTAGAAATTACTTGTATACGGAAACCATAGATTCTGCTACAGAGGAAGGTGTGTGGTTTTCTGTCTTCGTTGCATGCAGCTAAACCCAACCCAACCCCAGCTAGTTACATGCTAACGGCCCTTGCCAGACTTTGTATACTGTTGATTTAGTAAATAAAGTCAAATGAACTAAAGTTCCTGTGATTCCGAAGGAAGCCAGAACCACCACCCGTATTCCAGAATTCAGTGACCACAACTGCTTCTGCTCTAAACTCAAAGCCCTTTGATTTTTTGCCCTTTAATCCACAGCTCTCTCAACTGAAGGACCCTAATCTTAGTGTCTGTATGACCACGCCTCTTATCAACTTGGCCTGTCAGTTCTTTTGTACTTTATCTGGCTCCACGGTTTCCTCCTAGAATTTGAATTCCAGTACACCAGCTGTCCTGGAGGTCGACCATGGATTTATCCACTGGTTGGATCATGCATTTTGTTTTGCTTCCAGTGCTCACTGTGATAATATGATGCCTAACCTTTCATATGATTTGCTCCTTGAGCTGCTCTCTTCAGAAAACAACAGATCTTTTTCCTAGGGGTAATCCTAGTTCTGTATCCAGCTTTTTTTTTTTTCCTTTGAGACAGGGTCTTGCTGTCACCCAGGCTGGAGTGCAGTGACGCAATCATAGCTCACTGCAACCTTGACCTCCAGGGCTCAAGGGATCCTCCCACCTCAGCCTCCCAAATAGGTGCTACAGGTGTGTGTCACCACAACTGGCTAATTTTTTTTAAACTGGCTAATTTTTTTTGGTAGTGTCAGGGTCTCACTTGGTTGCCCAGGCTGGTCTCAAACTCCAGGGCTCAGTCGATCCTCCCTCCTCAGCCTCTCAAAGTGCTGGGATTATAGATGTGAGCCATCACACCCTGCCTAAAATTATTGACATGCATTATGGGATGTTTACCCATGTTATAGCCCATCTGTCTTTTTTTCTCATAACGCACCTAGGTTTTGATGTGTGTCAGCATTTCTGACTCAGTATTCCAAACCAGAAATTGCTTGTGCCTCTTGTGAAATTTGGTGACCTCATTAGCACACTTCTACCAGCTTTCCTGGTGAAAATTTCAAGTAAGAACGTAGAATCTTGGGATTTGAAGAAGGCTTAAAATTTATCTATCCCAATGTCATTATTAGGTGGTCATATCAATATAGGTTCAGACACCTCTAGAGGCAGAAAACTCACTTCTTCCTAAGGGAGTTCATTCTATTTTGGATGACTCTGATTACTTGAGAATGTTAAGCCAAAATCTTTCTTGTACCTTCCACCTAGTGGATCTATTCCTGCCCTCTGGGAACCCTAGAAAATACGCAGGATGTCTCTTTTATTTGCAGCTGTAAGGTAATGCATTTGAAGACCACCGTGAAGCCCCCCTACCCCCCACCACCATCTGCCTTTACCTGTGTCTTCGCTTCCTCACATCAAATACTCCTCATCCCCGTGGAGCAGTCCTCACTGTGAGTGCTGCTTCATTTGCATACTTGACTATTGATTTCTACTCTTTGCTTTATTCTTTAAGCAAGGACTCTAACATATCAAAAATGAATTCAGGGCCAGGCATGGTGGCTCATACCTGTAATCCCATCACTTTGGGAGGCTGAGGCGGGTGGATCACTTGAGTCCAGGAGTTCAAGACCAGCCTGGCCAACATGGCGAAACCCCATCTCTACTAAAATTACGAAAATTAGCCAGGCATGATGGTACAATGCCTCTAATCCCAGCTACTCTGGAGGCTGAGGCAGGAAAATTGCTTGAACCCAGGAGGTGGAGGTTGCAGTAAACTGAGATCGTGCCACTGCACTCCAACCTGGACAACAGAGCAAGACTCTGTCACAAGCAAACAAACCACCAGACAAAAACAACAAATTTAGCTTTTAAACATCCTTTGGTGTGGAATCCCATCAAAAGCTTCCCATCCATTATGTTATCCATTCATTCAGCTAACATTTAGTTAGTCATTGCTCTTCTTGATAGAAATGCACCACTGAAAAAAATGCAGTCCTCTGACCTCGAGTGGTTCAACCAGGAGGAAGAGATGTAAGCACAGTACAATCAGTGTTATAACACAGGTGTGTATGGAGCAGCGGGGACACAGGAGGGGAATGAGTATCAGACACCGTTTCACAGAGGAAACACTAAAACAGGACTTTGAAGCAAGAGCAGGAATTCACCTGGGAGAAGAAGGGAAGGTGCTAAAATGTGCTAAAATGCTCAAGAGTTCAATAGGAGACCCTGCTTTGGAGAACTGTAAAGAGTGTGAGATGGTGTGAAAGTGGCCTGCAGAGAGGAGGAAGGGAGAGGGAAAGAGGTCTACCTAAGACTCAGAATCTTGCACTTAATAGGGGCTCTCACCCCATTCACCCAGCACCCGCCAAATACAGAAGCCGTTTAGTCAGTTAATATCTGCAAACCAAACTAAGAGTAACTGATGATGGTGATTTTAATTTGGGGTTAATGTGTAAATGAGACATAGTTTCCCTAAATAACAGCCTGTAGGTCTAGTAGGACAGATCAGGGGTGATTTTGCATATTTCAGAAGGGCTGGTGACTCTGCTTTGGAAATACACGGCTGAGTGATCCAAACAGAAACATCAGATAACGGCAAGTAAGCATGTTGGGTGTTTCCCGCTCATGTTCTTCTAATTCTTCTCTATGGGTGGAGATGAAGCAGCTCCAGGCTAGCAGATTCTACCCTATCTGGGCAGTGCCCTCTGTTCTGAGCCTCCATGGGTCGAGTTCTCCCTCTGTGTCCAAGCCCTATCTGCCAGTGGACTGGAGACCAGCTGAATCTGTCCCTTCTTTTGGATGTGCCTCTCCTCTCCCTCCAGCAGACCCTGTATGCTGCAAGCTGCAAGGAGAGCCCAGGAGGGGTGTCCTCTTGGTGGAAGTTGTGCTTGGTGAGGAAGGTCCAGGGAACCAAGTCACTGCATCTCCTTCCCCAGTCAGCAGCCCCAAAAAGCAACTCAAGGGAACTCTAGGAATATCTAATGTTCCATCCACCTCCCAGATTCCTGCTGAGACTTACTGGAACTAAATATCACTGGCACAGGGTTCAAGGCTTGCCCCAATGGAGCACCGATACCACCCAAAGCACCGAAGCTATATAAACTCACCTTCACAGCTCTGGTCACCAGAGGCTTATTCTCATTTCAGCATGAGTTATCCTAAAGCTCTCAGGTACTATTGGTTTAGACTTTTTTTTTCCCCCCTCAAGACAGAGTCTCACTTTGTCATACAGGCTGGAGTGCGGTGGTTCCATCTTGGCTCACTGCAACCTCTGCCTCCAAGGTTCAAGCGATTCTCCTGCCTGAGCCTCCCGAGTAGCTGGGATTACAGGCACCCACCACCATGTCCAGCTAATTTTTGTATTTTTGGTAGAGATGGGGTTTCACCGTGTTGGTCAGGCTGGTCTTGAACTCCTGACCTCAAGTGATTTGCCTCCCCTTGGCTTCCCAAAGAGCTGAGATTACAGGTGTGAGCCACCACACCTGGCCTAAATATTATTGGAAATCAGTGTTCAAACACTAATCTTGTTATATTTCCATCAAGTACTGTACTAAATGTTGTGAGGGATTCAGAGATAAGTTGGAATGGGCAGAAACACCGCACAAGCAGACTGACACATCCTTAGGTTTTGCTTTCTGTATTTTCAAATTCTGCTGCCCCACCTGTCTTTGTACTTTGTCTTCATAGGCTGGTTCTCCTAAGCGGAGAAGAGCAGGAGTTCATGTAACAAGGAATGGCAGAAATGAAGGATGTTTTTGGCCAGGAACCACATCCAGGTAACACCTCTGCAGTATCTTCTAATGGAGGATATAGGAACTGATTACTGTTATAGGATAAAAGGCAAATAGGTTGGAACTATATTTAACTGTTGTCATTGTTCCTTACTCTTTATTCAGAAGGTGCTTTCTCCTTACTCTTTATTCAGAAGGTGCTTTCTCATGACAAGTTTAAATAGTGAATGAAGATCAGATATTTCAACAGTAACTGAAATAGCCTATTCATAATGAAGTGAACTGTTTGGCCAGCAGTTAAATAAGTGGGGCTTTTTTCCTTTAAAAAAAATAATGTTCCAGACTGGGCACGGTGGCTTATGCCTGTAATCCCAGCAATTTGGGAGGCCGAGGTGGGTGGATCACCTGAGGTCAGGAGTTCGTGACTAGCCTGACCAACGTGGCGAAACCCTGTCTCTACTAAAAATACAAAAATTAGTTGGGTGTGGTGGTGCGTGCCTGTAATCCCGGCTACTTGGGAGCCTGAGGCAGGAGAATCGCTTGAACCCGGGAGCAGAGGTCACAGTGAGCCAAGATTGTGCCACTGCACTCCAGCCTGGGCTACAGAGTGAGACTCCATCTCGATAATAATAATAATGTTCCAGAAAGTCACTTTGAATGCTCTGAAGGTAGCCTCTCTTACAAGACCCCTGGAACGACATTAGGCGGCTTTCCTTAGAAGGAGAGATGTAGGTGCCTTGGAGTGGCTCCTGGAAGGGTGACTCACATTGGAGTCAGTATGGGTGGCTTCCCTTCCTCAGAAGGCAGATATAGGGCCCCTGGAGCCAATGAGGGAGCCTTCCCTATAGGACGATGACAGGGATGTAACCCCCAGTTGCAGAAAACAGTCGTGTATCGTATCCTTTGTGTTTTGAGGACTGAAGAGGGAACGTTTCCTCACTCCGAGGGGATGGATTTCCTTAGGGGCAAGGTGAAGCAGTGTTTCTGGGTTAGTGGGGGTGATGCTAGCATCTGAAGCAAGCCTGAACAGGCATATAGGAAGAACTGCCACTTTGGGGTTCCCTCAGTTGAGCTTAGCCTTGAGGAATGGAATCCTTTTGCTTGGAAGATTTCTAGCAGTTTCTGGCAATGGTCTGAATCATGTCTGTAATCCCAGAACTCTGGGAGGCCAAGGTAGGAGGATCTCTTGAGCCCAGGAGTTCAAGACCAGCCTAGGCAACACAGCAAGACCTCATCGCTGAAAAAGAAAAAAAAAAAAAAATTAGCCAGGTGTGGTGGTGAGTGCTTGTAGTTCTAGCTACCTGGGAGCTGAGGTCGGAGGATTGCTTGAGCCAAGGAGGTTGAGGCTGCAGTGAACTGTGACCCTGCCACTGCACTCCGCCTGGGCGACAGTTGGAGACCCCGTCTCAAAAAAAAAAAAACAAATTCTACAGTCAATAATGAAACCGCATCTCAGCTCAGGCTGTTGGGGGATCAGTTTTCAAAAGTGACACCTTGTGGCAGCAGGAAGGAACAGCAGCGGTATACTACGCTTTTTGGACTGCCGCTATCCACCGCAACCGCTGGCTCCTAGGAGGGTTTGATGGGAAGTGCTGGAAAGGGCAAGGAAGGGCTTGAGTGATGAACAAGAATAATAAGATCTGTGATCTAAGTTCAGACTAGTTTATTTTTGTTACAATCTAATATAAAAATACTACCCTTACATGGTATAAATCCAAGATGGAATATTTTCTCCTTTCCGGATAGTTTTGCATTTTAGAAATTGAAGAAACAGTTTTAAACCCTGCTGTATTGGACTTCCTAGCCTATGCTTTAGTTGAGAAATAAACTTCCAAACTCTTATCAGATTCGTTGCCAGTCCTTACAATGTTGAAATAAGGGCCCTGGATGTGTGGACTTGGCCCTTGTTTTATACACATGGCTAAGAGATTAGGCAAACATTGTTTACCCAAAAGAGTTCCTGAGTTACAAAGTCTACATCCCTTTCCACTCTTTCCACAGACAGGTCGTGGACACATCCTGGAGTTCTGAGATGCTTTTTGGAGCACAGATTAAAGTGTTCTTCAGTCAGTAACTGGCCTGGGGCCTGACCAGCAGACTCTTCTTTCTTTGCCTCTTCCTCTCCAGCTCCAGCCACGGAGCCAGCAACCACTTGGTATTTTGTTCTAAGGCAGTCCTCAAACTGAGCCAGGGCGAATTCTTGAATTTGAGCTCAATCATCAGTTAGAATGTCTGAGATGGAAGGGTTGAAGTGTAACCTCTCTCAACTCTCAGTTGCGGCGTGAGCGTGGAGCATGAGGTGGCAGAGATTCAGGCCTTGGCAAATAGCATGACTTGCACTAGAATATTCTACGGGGTGTGCGTTGGCTTCCATTTGTGCTGGAAGATGCAAGGTTGAACAGAGAGGGAAGGCTGCCTGAATTGTCGGGGAGTTCCGTGTCTGGAGCCCCGGGGCAGAGACTGGGCCTTCTGTGTGGGCTGCCATTCTCAGGTGCCATGTGACATTTCTTCTCTGTGGTTCTTCAGAGAATGACCTCAGAATGCCACACTCAGTTTTGGAGGCTCATGGCCTCCCTGTGATTCTTGGGGATCAACTCTTTCGGTTCACCTCATGGCCATTTTCTAAGGTATGGGCCAGCCCCAGGAGCCCTGGGTTAGAACCATTTTCAACAACCTTCACCCCAAAGATCCACCTCTTGCCCCTTTCTAGCCAGGTAAACATGACCAAGGGGTATTTTCTAAAATCTCTCTAAAACACAACATTTTGGTTATACCCCTTCTTAAGGATTATGGGCCCAACCAGCCCTTCACTTCATAACCAAGGGAAACCACTTAAGTGAATGAATCTCCACAGAGCTACAAAGATCTGCTTCTAGGTGATTTCTGTTCTTGCTTATATAAGGAAGCAGCTGCTGATGTCTTCAAGCGAAGAAGGGAAAAAAATTCCCCAAATTTTTAAGGATCTCTGAAGGGCATCCATCCAAACTCTTGTAATGCATGTGTATTTTTTTGTTGTTGTTGTCAGTTCTCTCATTTTCCAGATGAATAAACTGAGGCTCAAGAAGATGTGATTTTTCCTGGTTACGTGGCCCCTGTTTTCCTTTGCATTCTACTTCTAGTTCATTTCTTTTTCTTCTCTTTTCTTTTCTTTTCTTTTTTTTTTTTTGAGACGGAGTCTTGCTCTGTCGCCCAGGCTGGAGTGCAGTGGCGCGATCTCGGCTCACCACAAACTCCGCCTCCGGGATTCACGCCATTCTCCTGCCTCAGCCTCCTGAGTAGCTGGGACTACAGGTGCCCGCCACCATGCCCGGGTAATTTTTTGTATTTTTAGTAGAGATGGGGTTTCACCTTGTTAGCCAGGATGGTCTCCATCTCCTGACCTCGTGATCCACCCGCCTCAGCCTCCCAAAGACCTGGGATTACAGGCGTGAGCCACTGCACCAGGCCGATTTCTTTCCTAGTCTGAAAAGACCTCCCAGAGGCCTTTCCTCACTGCACACTTAACCCTGTCTTCAACTTTTCTCTACACAGTTGGTTGATTTCCTAAAACTTGGCATTTGGTGAAGAATGTCTAGCCACTTTGGCTTCTGAGGACTTGCAAATAGAAACTTTTTATCTGGGGAGATAGATTGAACTCTACATTTTGGAACTAAATGCAGACAGTCTTGTGACTCTGGGAAGTAGGAACCAAACTGGAATGATCCAACAGTGTTTTTTCCCAAATGAGTTTATGGGCAGACAGAGCTGGAAGCAGTTCCTCTTTATATATATATATATGTGTATATGTATATACACATATATTTGAGACAGGGTCTTGCTGTGTCACCCAGGTTGGAGTGCAGTGGCAAAATCATAGCCCACTGCAGCCTACAACTCCTGGGCTCAAGTGACCCTCCCACCTCAGCCTCCTGAGTATCTAGGACTACAGGTGCGCACCACCACACCTGGCTAATCCAAAAAATTTTGTGTTTTTGGTAAGTTCGAGACCAGCCTGGGCAACATGGTGAAACACTGTCTCTACAAAAATTTGCCAGGTGTGATGGTATGTGCCTATAGTCCCAGCTACTCTAGAGGCTGAGGTGAATACCATACCCCAACACCTATAATCTTATATATCCTCTGTTTATCTCTAGTTGAAGATGATTTATATAAAGAACCAATGAGAAAAAGAAGGAAATCAGATCGAGACCAGCGTTTCCGAGCATTTCCCTCTGTGGAGCAGAGCGCTCTTAAGGAATGTGAGTGTCCTGAAACTGTTGTTTTAACGTGGTTCTGTTCTGTTCCAAGTATGTTAAAATGGTCAAAGGAAGAGGAAGTTAAATTCTGAAGCTGGATGAAACATCTTGAAATGAACCTGTTTTGGAAAGAGAGGGCTGGAAGTTTCTGCAGCAGTGTGCAGTTAGGCAATTTGTCTCTAGGCATCTCTGGACAGGAGGGTTGTTATCAAAATAACTTCTTCCTGCTTAGAACAAAGCCTGTGAAGATGATTAGGTTGGTGCTTCAGTGGGTGTCAACATGGTGTCTTTGCACTTTTTTTTTTCTTTTTATGACCACAGGAGGGAAGAATCTAGAATGGGCTGAAGCCCATGGCAAAGCATACCATAACTTCTGTTACCAGAGTTTCAGAGCAGCCTGGCTCTTTGGAGATTTTCAGAACCAATGATCGCTATCTCCAGTGAGCCACCATCCCTAGTGTGAGATAACCTGCTATCTTGTTTAATCGGCTTTTCATTTCATTTTTTTTTTCCTTCTCTCGATGTTCAGCAGACACCTCCTTTGGAGACCTAGTACTTTATCCCTGCCAGGTACCTACAGGTGACCTCTCTCTGTTAATTCCAGACGAAAAATTGGAATCACGGACCAGAAGAGTTTTGAGCAACACTTATCAGAAACTTATTCAGTCTGTCTTCCTGGACGATAGCATCCCTAATGGAGTCAAATATCTCATGTGAGTCTGAAATCTGCAACCCTGAAATCTTGTGTCAGTGTCTTTCCTTAGGCTATTATAGGTGCTTTCCCCCAACAAGGAAAGGGACTATTTAATTAGAAACTAAGAAAGAAGGATACAAATTTCTGTCACTGCGGGATAGTTGCCATTCATTGAGCTGTCACTGTTAGGTAATCTGCTAAGTGCTTTATATATATGTGTGTGTGTGTGTGTATATATATATGTATGTGTGTGTATATATATATGAAATATAATTTAATCCATCCAACACTCCTATAAAGTAGGAACTATTATGATTACTTCCATTTTACTGAAAGCGAGGCTCAGAGAGGCCCAGACTTGAACAAAGTCACACCAGTGGTCAGTGAGAGGGTCCAGAATTCACCCCAGGCTGTGTGACTCTGAGCTCATGTTCCCAACTATCTGTACTCTGCTGACTTGAAAGACTTGAGTAGTGCCGAGGCTGTAACTTCTCCTGTTCAGTAAGACTCTGTGTTGCTCCTAACACTATTAATACTTCACCTCTGTATACACAGTATTTCTAGGGTCAAGAATATGCAATTTCTGTCCAGGTACAGTGGCTGACACCTGTAATCTCAGCACTTTGGGAGGCTGAGGCAGGTGGACCACTTGAGACCAGCCTGAGCAATATGGTAAAACCCTGTCTCTACACAAAATACAAAAAAATTAGTCAGGTGTCATGGGGCACGCCTGTAGTTCTGGCTACTTCAGAGGCTGAAGCAAGAGAGTTTCTTGAGCCTAGGAGATTGAGGCTGCAGTGAGCCATGATTGCATCACTGCACTCCAGCCTAGGTGACAAAGCGAGACCCTGTCTCAGACACCTAAACAAACAAACAAAAAAAGAATATGCGATTTCCAGTGAATACAAATAAACATGCCTCACTTCTATGTAGACATTATAGGGATTGCGTGGAATTATCATTACCAAATATTTTTGCATAATCTCATTTGATCCCCAGGCCAACTCTGTGTAGCAAATAGGAATTGATATTCTCCTTTGACAGAGGAGAGAACAGAGACTCAGAAGATTTTAGTGACGTGCCCAGGATTAGAATTCAGTTCCTTTGCATTCTGTTTCAATGCTCTTCACTCTAAACTTTGATGATCATGACAATGTACATTTTAAAATTCACCCAGAAATAGGCTCCTTGCCTTGATTGAAAAGCCGACAGTGGACCCAATCTACATTGGATTATTTGGAAGCACTGGGGCTGGGAAGAGCTCCCTGATCAATGCCATCATCCAGCAAGCAATGTTTCTACCGGTGTCTGGAGAAAGCATATGTACTTCCTGCATTGTACAAGTGAGCTCCGGCTGCTGTGCACAATATGAGGCCAAAATCCACCTTCTGTCTGACCAGGTAAGTGTTCCCTTCCTCCCTCCTTCCATTCCTTCCTTCTTTTTCTCCCTTCCTTCCTTCCTTCCTTCCTTCCTTTTTTTCCTTCCTTCCTTCCTCTTCCCTCCATCTCTCCCTCCTTTCTTTCTTCTTTCCCTTCCTTTTGTTCTTCCTTTTCTTTCTTTCCTTCTCACTATCTCTCAGAGATAACATTATATTCCTTGCAAATATAGCTCGTGCCTTTGTTTAATGAAAAGAGCCCATCCCAGGAGAAAGTTCAGTCGAGTGAGCTGGGGGTGTCTAGCCTGGTCCTTGCATTGTTATGAGACTTTGGGCAAGCCATTTCCCTCTTCGAGACCCCAGATAGATGACCTAGATATTCTGAATATGCAGCCCCCTGGCCCTTCACAGGGGGCAGTGGACGCCTCTGTTTGTCGGTGTTCTCTGTGTCTGTGTCAAGAGGGGCTTGGCCCTACTCTGCCTTGGCAGGAGTGGAGGGAGGAGCTGAAGAACCTGACTAAACTCCTGCACAGGACGGAGGAGCTGGGCAGAGAAGAGGCAGATGCATGGAACAGGGATGAGGCAGTGGAGGAAGCCACCTGGAAGCTACAAATGATTTATGGAAATGGGGCAGAAAGTAAGAACTATGAGGAGTTACTGAGGGCGAAGCCCAAAAGGAAGATCCCCACCTCCAGAGTCATCACCCTCAAGGCGGAAGAGGTAGCGTCAAGTTCGTTTTTTTCTAGATTTCATCCTGGGTCTGATGTCTAACAGTTGAATCTGTTTCAGGGGACGGGCTCGTGGTACAGTGTTTGTGTGAAATAAGAAATAAGTTGCTACCCAAATCAGAAGTATCCATAGCCCAAGTTATCCTCATTATTTATGGCTATCAAATGGGAATTTTTAGTATGTGAATGGAGGAGCTCTTGTGCGCAAAAGAAGACTATTTACAGTTACTTGAGAATAATAAGGGATAGTTTGGGCTGCCAGTGATTTTTGAAGACTTATAGTGGCTTAAACAAACAGGGATTTATTCTTTTTCTCATGTAAGAGGTTTGGGGGCAGTAGGGGTGGGGTTGGTTTAGTGGCTCAGCAATGTCAAGATCAGCATCTCTGTTTCCCTTGGCCTTCTGTCGACCCCATTGTCATGAGATGGCTCCCGAGGTGCTAGACTTCATGCTAGCCTCCTGGAAGGAAGAAGTGGAGAAAAAGTTGGCATCAGCCACATCTCCCCTTTCATGAGAAATTAAAAGCTTTCCCAGAAATACCTCTGACAAATTTCTGTGTAGATTTCAGAGTTCAGAACTGAGCCACATGGCCCTTCTTGGCTGAAAGGGGGTCCAGAAAAAGTGAAAAGCAGACTTGTCATGATTTGCTTAGACCAGTCTCACTCCACTGCCTTTCCAATCAGACAGAAAATCAGGATTCTGCTGGCATAAAGGAGTAACAGGATGGACTTTGGATAGGCAACTAGTAGTATTCTTGCTTTTATAAACAATGTTTATTTTAAGTTAAAATTCAATTTCTGAATTAAAACAAAATATTTGTGGAATCAACATTCAATTTAGGAAAGCTATACATTTAAAAACCTAGTTTTTCTTGTATCTCTCACCTTTAAATACACCTTTAAAATATTGCTATTCTATTTATAAATCTAGTGACTGTTGGTAAAATGGGTACAATTTTTATACGCGTCCTAAAGTTTAATGTTCAATTATCTCCTGATTAACAAAGCCAACCTTCCTTAAATATTCCATGATACTTACATAATTAATCACATTTCCTTAGGCTTTTTGCATACGGTTAAAGTTCAGTATATTTGAGTCTCTTAAAATGTTTAAATACTTGACTAGGCACACTTAAAAATCGAATGAAACCTTTTCAAAGCACTTTGCTATCTCTTGTATATCTGGAAAATCAGACACAGTGCCCATTTCTTATAGTTTTAAGATGAATATTACTATTAAAATGATTATACTTCTAATATCTAAAACATAGACTGAGCATGTCTGAGAAACACAATGATTACAAAACTAGTGACTTTATCTGAATACACACAGCTTACACAAGGATATCAATGTCTTCGCCAACTTTCTGTTTAGAAATACTCCTTCCCAGCATCATACATTTACCCACGGAAACAAGGTGAACAGAATTACCATCTCAGTGAGTGAGCTTACAAATTCAGGCTTTCCACTGGAGATCCTAGAATCCGAGTTTGCCTTCTATAATGATGTTTGCCCAGAACCAGTTTATTGGACTTAGCCCTCTAGTAGAAAGAGACTTTTCAAGCCCATGCCTTTTCCTGGACTTCTCTCTTATGGTATCTGCTCTATTTGAAAATCACAATATCTTAAAGAGCTTTTATTATCTCCTCTTTCACTGTTTATCATTTGGTTGAAATTGATGAAATCTCTTACTCCTTACCCAGACTGCAACAAATCCAGCGATTTAATGTAAACTCTCTTAAGAGTTGACATTCTTATCTTTCTTTCAGGACTATTCAATAGAAATTTATTTAACAATGACCACCATACATCCCAAATCCTCTGTCTTCTGAAGTACCCCAGTTGAGATTTACTGTCATAGTTGCTGGCATGGATGTGTCATTGTCCCAAGACATGTTTAAGCAGAAACTGTGGTTTCAGAACTATTTCCTCTCTCACCCACCATCATTAAAATATCCTAGAAATGCCTACATATCAAGGTATTTTTTGTAATCAGAAGATAAATTTTAAAAACTCTTTTTAAGATACATTTTCAGATCAATTTTCAATTTGGAAAATATGGTTACCATATCACTGTTAATTTTCTATAGTCATTGCTAGCTTTCTGATAATGAAAATGTTAATTACATATTACCTTAATTTCAGAATTGAATGCAGTTTAGAAGATAAACCTATTATTCAGCAATGCTATAACTTCCCTAACATCCCATTTTAGCTGACTTTGTTTTTTTTTTTTTTTTTTTCATCTGTAAGGTAAGGAGCTTGAACTTCCTCATCTCCAGGGTCCTTCCTGGCTCTCAGGTTCTAGGTCCTACAGACCTGATTTCAGACCTTCTGTCGGATGCACTTCTTACCCTTACTAAGCATACTTACCATGAACCTGCATCACAGCCAACCAGGATGAACAGAGCTGGGAACATGGCTGGCGTGCATGATTCTGTCCTTCTTCTTCAGGCAGAAGAGCTGTCCATCAAGCTGGACCCCTACATCCGCACACAGAGGAGAGACTGGGATGGAGAGGCCGCTGAGATGCACATCTGGCCCTTGATCAAACATGTAGAAGTGACTCTTCCCAAATCCGACCTGATCCCAGAAGGGGTCGTGCTGGTGGACATCCCAGGCACAGGCGACTTCAACAGCAAGAGGGACGAGATGTGGAAAAAGGTGACTGTCTTTCATAGGCTTAGTTCTCTCTTCCCTCAACTCCTCTACCCTTTCTCAAGCAACAAAGAATGCTCTGCTTTCAACTTCAGGGATTTTATGAGCTCATTGGAATTAAATTCTTCTAATTTCTATGTTCTAAGTCTCAGGGCCCTGGCAGGATATGGTGGTCAGAGAAAGTAGGGAGGGAGGAATTATAGGACGTGACTGTTGGAGCCGGGACAAGTGTGTGTGATGTATGAGAAAGATCAGCAATAGAGTGGCTTAAGAGGAATCAGAGTGACCAAGGACAGAATGGAACTGGGAGGCCAAGTGTTAGGGACAAAGCAGAGAAACTGCAGCCAGTCACCCAGAACCCAAGAGACTGCAACTGTGTTGACTGTAAGCAGCATCAGCACAAAGCTGGAGGGCTGAGGAAGCTGGTGTGGCCGGGGCAGGGTGAGTCTTCCTGGGTGAATGGGAGAAGGAGCATGAGGTCGGTGGAGGAGGGAGACTATGGAAAACACCTGGAGAAGTTCCAGGTCTTTAGTACTACTGCTCCAGAGTTTGGCTTCCTGGGAAAACTTGCAGGAAGAGAGGGACTGGGACATGTGATTGAGAAAGGGCACGGTAACAGAGGCACTCTGGAGCAGAGGGTGGGAGGAACACAGAAGCCCAGGAGCTGGAAGGGGACTGGGAGCGAGGACCAGCATCAGTGAGTTGTGAGCAGCACAGCAGCTGCTGAAGAATTCAGTTCTTTAAACTCCACAGGTTTGTTTAGATGAATGACTGTGTGCCAGGGGAGCTTGCTGACCACGGCTTCCAGTCACAATCTAGAGCAAGCTCTAGCCTCTGCCCTGATTGTACAGATGAAGACATAAAGGCTCAGAGAGGGGAAGTCACTTGTCCAGGACCACACAGCCTTGAACTGGAGAGCAGGTTTCTTAACTTCCCTGCTGGGGCTCTGTCTACCCCACCTCCCCCAGGGCACTCTGTACATTATCCACCTCCTGCAGGAGGAAGGCAGTCCCTGTGTCCTTCCCCTTGGTCGGTGGCTCAGGCCTGGCCTTGTGAGCCTTAGTTTCTGTAAGACCTCGGGTCCTGGGGTGGAAATCGCGAACCTTGGCTAGTTCCAGGCCTGGCCAAGAGAGCAACAGCCCAGGAAGACTGCCAGGGCCTCTCCCTGGACGGAGCCGCGGCTGCAGCCAGTTCAGATACACTGGGCAGCTTATCAAAGCCGGCAGCTCTGGCTCAGAAAATGTGCTCTGAAGAGGTCAGGCTGAAGCGAGGGATGGTTCCCAGTGTGCTCTGCCTGGCCTGGCTCCCCTGCATTCTTGTGGGTTTTTTTTGACCTCTCACAAGAAGTTACTCAAGACCCCACTCTTTGCAGGGAGAACAAGACAGTCGCCCTCCCTATGTCTGTCAGGCTGCCAGCTTTGCCTTCCCTAAAACCCGTTATGAATTCAGATGTCCCTGAATCTGATCTGCCACTTAGAAGTCATGTGACTTGAGGCATGTCTCTGAAGCCCTCTGAGTCCCATTCTCATCGCGGGGACCTGGGGAGATGCAGGTGGCGGTGGTGGAATGCCATCTCATCTACTCCTAAGTCTGGCAGTTCTGGTTTTATAGAAACACTTTTTTGTATCTTCTGCGACACTAACTTTACCAAACCCTGGCAGTGGGGAGCTTTGTGTGGGGTCTGAAATTTAACCACTGCACCCTTTATGGTTGCTGTCCTTTTCTCATGTTAGTGAACACTAAGCACCTGTGGCTTACCGGGACCAAGGGGAATATGAAGGTGATGGGGGCCCTGCCCTTGAGGAGCACCCAGCCTGGCATCCTTAAGGCCTTCCACTGGCTGGACCGTTTTCTGCCCACTGTTGACACTACAGAGCTGGAACCTGCTTCTACTTTTGTTTTGTTTTGTTTTGTTTTGTTTGCGACAGCATCTTGCTCTGTTGCCCAGACTGAAGTACAGTGGCACAATCATGGATCGCTGCCACCTCGACTTCCTGGGCTTGAGCAATCCTGCTGTCCCAGCCTCCCGAGGATCTGGGCTACAGGTGCACACTACCACACTTGGCTAATTTTTTTTTTTTTTTTTTTTTTTTTGTAGAGATGAGATTTTACCATATTGCCCAGGTTGGCCTTGAACTCCTGAGCTCAAGTGATCTGCCTGCTTTAGCCTCCTGAAGTGTTGGGATTACAGATGTGAGCATCACATCTGGCCCAGAGCCCAAAGCTTTTCTAAGTTGATTATAGTTTGGGAAGCGGAAGGACTGTAATGGTTTTTATTTTCTTGCCTAAGTCAAAGTCCATTCACGTATAAAGGAGAGACAGGATCCATCGTCATGTGGCCCTATACGAGTCTCTTTACCACTTGGGCCTCATTTACTTCCCTATAATCCAAGAGGTTTGTCTCACTCGAGAAACTGATGCTTTTTAAGCAATAATTTATGGAGCCAAAAGGTTCATGGACAGAGGGTAGAGGGTATTGTGCAGATGGTGGTTCTGGGTCCTCCACTCCCAATTCAACCACAGCAGTTCTGCTTTTTAAAAATCAAGTGTATATGTTGGAATTCTAACTAAGATTTCATTTGAAAAAGTCTCCCCTGCTAAAAGCAAGCTGAAACCCACTGCCCTGGATCAAGGTTTCTCAACCTCTTGACATTTTGGGCTGCCAGATAATTCTCTGTGGGATGGGGGCAGGGGTGGGACTGTCCTGGGCATTGAAGAATGTTTAGCAGCATCCTTGGCCTTTACGTGCAAGTACCCCCCAAGTTGTCACTATTAAAAATGTCTCCAGACATTGCCAAATACAGATACTCCTTGACGTACCATAGAGTTGCATCCTGATAAGCCCACTGTAAGCTGGAATCATAACCATCATTAGTCCCGATTGTCCTGGACTTACCAATCGTTCAGTAAACCCATTGTAAAGTTGAAAAGAAAAATTGTACTCTGAATCATCACAAGTTGGAGACTGTTTATATCTTCTGGGGCACAAAAACTCTACTAGTTAAATACTACTGGTATAAAGCAAAATGATGATTTAATTATCAAGTGGCAAACTTGTCACCCCTTCGTATGCAAAGCACTGAGGAACCACAAATGAACTCAATCCCTGAGTTGAACCAGATTTTCATTTATGTAGAGGTAAGACAAGAGTAACAATACAATTAGAGAAATGTCACAAGGCTATGCATGATTATCACGTGAAAGTTGCATATTTAATAAAGCAACATTTATGTCATTAATATGTTGTTATTTCATGTTCATTGGCCTTTGCAACTTGTCATATGGTTTCTGGCTCCCTGCTGCCATCTGGTGGCATTGTACTAAACATGCAGGGGCAGTCAAACATCAAAATGATGCCGTCAGGTGACTGCTTGGGGGTATGTGCGCCACCAAACTTAGCGCTGGAAAAACAAGAATTTTCCCCAGGGGACAACTGAGATAAAGCAAGCCAGTGATGGATCTGAGACTGGGACTGGAGGACTGATTTAGGGAATTCTGTCAATCTCTAATGGCACAAACTACTATGAAGCCTCTCCTGTGTGCTAAGCACCAGTGGGCTTGAGGTGAGGTGGATCCCAAGAGGAAAGGTGCAGATAGTCACTTCCCATCAGGAGGCAGAGAGCAGACCTGGTGCAGTCACTGTGTCTCAGAGGCGATGCGGGAGGTAAGTCCAATTGTTACAGGATGCAGAGACCAGCCCATGCTTGAGGGGTCCTTCACAGTCTTGAGGGACAGGTGGGGGCTAGGCAGAGACTGTGGCCAGGTAATTAACAGAACAAGGCACATATGAGAAATGGCACGTAGCTCAGTCCAGCTAGTGCACAGAGTGTGGTGCGGAGCGGTGAGGGGTGGGACTCGAGGGAGAGGCTTAAGGGATACATTAGGGAATCGGTCCTCAGGAACTGTGACTCCATTCCTGTGCTGACACATGCTGTGGTCATGTTTTGCAGACCATTGACAAGTGCTCAGTGATCTGGGTGATCAGCGACATAGAGCGAGTTTCTGGGGGACGAGCCCACGAAGACCTTCTGAATGAGAGCATCAAAGCCTGCCAGCGGGGCTTCTGTAGGGACGTGGCCCTTGTGGTCACCAAGACGGACAAACTCCACTTGCCAGAATACCTACGGTATTGTTCTGGGTTCATGGGGATGTGGGCTTCAGTCAGGGGCTTTCCTCTGTGGGTCCTGACTACAGTAGCACGGAGCTTGACTGTGTAACGTGGTTACAGGGCTTCAGGAAGTGACTGTTGGGGAGGAAACAAAAGACTGGGTGACTTCCTGGGACATCAGGACCCTTGGTTGGGTTGTCTCGGGAATCTGAACTTTCCAGGGTAGCTGCTTAGTGCCAAGCTGGTGTCCCCTACACAGCTCTGGGGGTGCTACTCACATGTACCAGATGCAGATGGTACCTCCTGCACTGTGCGATTTGATGATCCCACCTGCTCCACAGATGTAGAAAGTGTAGATACCCCTGTAACTAGGAGGTACAGCCCCGTAATCCTACCTGGCAGGGTACAGCTTTTTTTTCTTTCTTCTTTTTTCTTTTTTTGAGACGGAGTCTTGCTGTGCTGCCCAGGCTAGAGTACAGTGGCACGATCTCAGCTCACTGCAACCTCTATTTCCCGGGTTCAAGCGATTCTCCTGCCTCAGCCTCCCGAATAGCTGGGATTACAGATGCTGGCCGGTATACCTGGCTAATTTTTGTATTTTTAGTAGAGATAGGGTTTCACCATGTTGGCCGGGGTGGTCTTGAACTCCAGACCTCAGGTGATCTGCCCGCCTTGGCCTCCCAAAGTGCTGGGATTACAGGAGTGAGCTACCGCACCCAGCCCAGGGTACAGCTTTGATGTTTCAGGTTTTTGTACTCCTGAGCTTTTTAAAAATCATTAAAAATTATTTTTATTTTTATTTTAAGTTCCAGGGTACATGTGCAGGATCCACAGGTTTGTTACATAGGTAAATGTGTGCCATGGTGGTTTGCTGCACAGATCAACCCATCACCTAGGTATTAAGCCCAGCATCCCCACCCAGAGACTCCTGAGCTTTTTAACTCACTTGGAACAAGTCCTCAAAAGTTTTAGAACTTTAGGCGAAGGTAGATGCATTCTCTAAGAGCTGTATTCTAACAAATAAAAGGTAAGCATTTGTGGGCTTAATAGATGTTGATTTCCATGGAGAGCTCTGCTGTCGCTATAGCTAGGAAGACTATAACTAACCTTCTATATTGGGACAATTTTGAGAGTGAGAGGGGGTGTGATTAGTCCTTAGAGGGGATCAGCGGGCATAAACTGGGGTTTCCTGTATCCATGGGGTGTGTGCTCATGGGATGTAATGTCACGGATGCGTCTCACCTCCAACAGGAGCTCCTTTACCACCCCTCCACCATTTCCTCCATGCTCACTGAAGCTTAGGTCTGACTGCCGTCTTCAGGAATTCACTTGCTGTCATAGTCTGGGTTGGAATTGCAGCTTCATTTTTTTCTCCTGCATTTCTCCTCATCTCACCCCAGCAGGGAATATCTCCAGCCCTCCCTTTCCAATGCCAACATTAAAATTAACACAATTAGGCTGGGTGTGGTGGCTCACACCTGTAATCCCAGCACTTTGGGAGGCTGAGGTGGGCAGATCACAAGGTCAGGAGATCAAGACCATCCTGGCCAACATGGTGAAACCCCGTCTCTACTGAAAAATACAAAATAAATTAGCCGGGCGTGGTGGTGTGTGCCTATAGTCCCAGCTACTTAGGAGGCTGAGGCAGGGGAATCGCTTGGACCTGGGATGCGGAGGTTGCAGTGAGCTGAGATCGTACCACTGCACTCCAGCCTGGGCAACAGAGCGAGACTCTGTCTCAAAATAATAATAATAATAATAATTATAAAAATCTAATTTATTAATAATAAGCATTTATTTAACACGGGTAGGGGCTGTGGATTCAGGGGCACATTGCCCAGTCTTTGAGCTCACCATCTAAAAGAGGGTTAAAGGTTATACATGAAGGGACAAGCCAGGTGCTATGGGAACCCAGGGTGAGAGGGCTGCATTTTTGAGTGGGACAGGGAGTGAGGTCACAGAAAATGTTCACAGCTGACAAAATGCTGGCTGGCCATTGAGAAATGAAGGCACTTTTTTCAAGTGGACGCTGGAGGTGGGTCAGAAGAGAGAGCATCGGGTCAAAGAAAGAGCTTATGAAAAGGTGCGACACAGAGCAGTATGTGCTGATTTTAGGGAAAGTCAAAGACTGCAGTGACATATCGTAAAAGTTAAGTAATTGTTACATTTTCCTAATTTCATTTCAGAGAAAGAAAGGCGGGAAATGTAAGTATGAACTAGTTTTTTATATTTTTATTACCCCTGCTCAGTCGAAAATCCACACATAATTTTTGCTTCCCCAGAAACTTAACTACTAATAGCTACAGTTGATTGGAAGTCTTACCGATAGCATAAACAATCAGTTAATACGTATTTTGTATATGTATTATGTTCTGTATTCTTACAACAAAGTAAGCTAGAGAAAAGAAAACATCATTAAGAAAATCATGGCCGGGAGTGGTGGCTTATGCCTGTAATCCCAGCCCTTTGGAAGGCCGAGGTGGGCAGATCACGAGGTCAGGAGTTCAAGACCAGCCTGACCAACATGGTAAAACCCCGTCTCTACTAAAAACACAAAAATTAGCTGGGCGTGGTGGTGCGCACCTGTAATCCCAGCTGCTCAGTAGGCTGAGGCAGGACAATCACTTGAACCTGGGAGGTGGAGGTTGCAGTGAGCTGAGATGGCGCCATTTCACTCCAACCTGGGCAACAGCGAGACTCTGTCTCAAAAAAAAAAAAAAGAAAAAAAAGAAAGAAAATCATAAGGAAGAGAAAATACATTTACAATACGGCACTGTATTTATCAATAGAGTAAGTTTACTTCGTCTGTTTACAAGATGAATTGTACATCTTAAATGACAGGAAACAGCAGCTGCAGACCTCAATCTACGGCACATATGAAGCGATTCAACTTTTTCTTGCAATGTCATGACTTTTCTCTGCTACTTGGGAGCCGCTCCAGGATCATTGGACTTCAGATGGGTCCCATGGTGTTATTCAAGATTTAGGGTATTGCACTAAACAGGCTGCAAAATACATGAGAACTTCAAGAGATCACTTTTTATTGCCATATGCAATTTACTGGAGCGATGAACTGCTTTCGTGGAGATGATTAGCATCACGTGGTGTTTGGCATTTTAAGTGGATATTTGCAACACTTGAGCTACAACAACAGCAACAGGAGGTGGCTCTGAAATTATTACAGTAGTATAGTGTGTACTACAGTTAATTTTATGCAGTTATGATTTAATACTGCATCTTAATGCTTGTTTACATTTCTCTTGACTGCAAATGGTACCATGTATAGTCTATAGGTGTTTATAGAAGTTTTGATAAATTTTAACTTTTCACAATAGAATCGTGCATTTCATGGTAGTACATGATCAAATATAAACTGGGATCTACATCTATTTTATACATTCATGACATACCTTTGTCTTAACTTTTTGTTATTTCTAGGCTACAGGGTTTGTCTGTTTTTTCAGATTGTCGCAAATCTTCAAAATGTTTTTCAATTATTGAAAAAGAATCCACATATAAATGGACCCATGCAGTTCGAACCCATGTTGTCCAAGGGTCAACTATGTTTTTTTTTCTTTTGAAACGGAGTCTCACTCTGTCGCCCAGGCTGTAGTGCAGTGATGTAATCTCGACTCACTGCAACCTCTGCGTCCTGGGTTCAAGCGATTCTCCTGCCTCAGCCTCCTGAGTAGCTGGGACTACAGGCATGTGTCTCCACACCTGGCTAATTTTTTGTATTCTTAGTAGAGATGGGGTTTCACTGGATTAGCCAGGATAGTCTCGATCTCCTGACCTTGTGATCCACCTACCTTGGCCTCCCGAAGTGCTGGGATTACAGGCATGAGCCAACATGCCCGGCAACTGTGTTTAATTCTAATACAGTGCATGCACATTTGACTGTCTGGACCAAATGAAGATCTGCCAAAAAAACGTGCATCTTGCCACCTCATTACTGTTGATAACACTGCTCTCTGCATGTTTCTGTTTCCTTTCACAACCTAGCAAGCTATTCAGAGTCAGCGAGAGGCTGTTTTAGAAAGAAATGAAATGATAAAACTACAAAGGACTAGAATTCTCAAGGAAAAACTGAAGGTGAGTTAACAGGTTTCCCTATGTGTTTTTCTGTATCCCAGCGACTAGATTTTGAGATACAAATGTATACCTGGTATTGTGTAGTTGCAAGGGCAAAAGCTTTGGAATAGACAGTTTGTTCGTTTGGTTTGTTTTGTTTTTGAGACAGGGTCTCACTCTGTTGGCCAGGCTGGAGTGCAGCGGTGTGATCTCGGCTCGCTGCAACCTCTGCCTCCCAGGTGCAAGAGATCCTCCCACCTCAGCCTCTCAAGTAGCTGGGACTATAGGCATGCACCACCATGTCTGGCTAATTTTTGTAGTTTTAGTAGAGATGGGGTTTCACCATGTTGGCCAGGCTGGTCTCGAACTCCTGACCTCAGGTGATCTGCCTGCCTCGGCCTCCCAAAGTGCTGGAATTACAGGCATGAGCCACCACGTCCGGCCTATAACAGTCTTATACAACTATAAAACTAAAACCAAGTTTAAGATAAAATATAAACAAAATCACATAAGGGATATATCAGAGTAAGTACAATGTGACAGATGATATGTTTGGCTGAAACAAAATCTTCGGTATTGGATTCAGTAGTAAAAACATCTGGCCGATGTCCAGCTCTATATTCAATTTCTTTCTGTATTTTGTCTTCAATGATATTGATACGGAAAACATTTGCTGTACAACATGGAACTGAAAATTTCAAAGCTTTTGTTTCTAGCGCAGTATCATTAGGCCTCATGCTTAAGCCAGAATATTGTACCAGGCAATTCTTGAATGCCAGTTTTAATGAGGCAAAACTTAGTAAAGCTGGTCGTGGTCTCCTGAATTGTTCTTGTTGGTATTAAAGAAATATGCGTTGTATGAGTGCCTGATCATATTATCCCTGGAAACGGAAACATGGAATACTTCAATACACAATTTACAACTATGCCAGTAAACATGCCAAATTGGTTTGTATAAGTTAGGGCCTGGGCGGCAGTACATCAGCTTGCAGGGTGACTATAGCTGTCCCTGCTATGGTGCAAGTTCTTCTGAGGCCTCCAGCACATACCTCTGATGGCAAGGTGATACCTTCATTCTCCAACCACTTTATTTCAGTTTGAAATATTGTGAAACCTTGACTTGTGCTACATGCCATCGTTTGGAACTTGTTTTTTTTTTTTTTTTTTTTTCCCAGATGGTTCTCACTCTGTCACCCAGGCTGGAGTATAGTGGCGCAATCATAGCTCACTGCAACCTTGAATTCCTAGGCTCAAGCTATCCTTCTGCCTGCCCTCCACTCCCCCCAACCCCCACCAGCCTCCCAAGGGGTTAGGACTAGCGGTATACCAGTATGCACCACCACATCCAGCTAATTTTTAAATTTTTTGTAGGGACAGGGTATGTTGCCCAGGCTGGTCTCTAATTCCTAGGCTCAAACAGTTCTGCTTGGGCCTCCCAAAGCACTGGGATTACAGGTGTGAGCCACAGTGGCTGGCCTTGGAGCAAACTTAGTTTTAATCACAGGAAACATGAGACGGAAGTTCTTTATAAGGCATTCCTTGAGTTTCTGTCACTTTTTTTTTTTTTGGATGCATTTGAGATAGGCAGTCACTTTGCACATACCTCAGTATCAAAACACAACCCACCTTCATCTACATGTGGATGTCTCCCTTTCCTAGGTCCCATGAAGCACTTAAGTGTTGCTTTGCAAGAAAATCTGGAATTACTGTCTACTCCACCAACCAGGAGCATTTTTTCCACTAACATCAAATATATGCCCCACGTTTCCATTTCCAGGCCTTTTGATGTAAAGGCCTGGAAAATGCTGACCTTTCAATGCTGAATCATAACATAATCTTTTAAAAGGCATATTAAATGGCAGTTAAGTAATGCACACAACTCATTAGAAGGAAGGGCAATGTGAACAGCTGTGACCAAGTTTGCCATGTGCGGTGTATGAACCTCCTAAGCACCACAGCTAGGTGGCTTGGAACAACAGAACATTATTCTCTCCCAGTTCTGGAGGCTGGAAGTCCAAAATCAAGGTGTTAGCAGCACCATGTTCCCTCTGAAGCTGTGGGAAGGATCTGGTCCAGTTCTCTCTCTGCTTCTGGTAATTCCTGGCTTGTGGCAGCACAACTCCAGTCTTCATGTGCCATTCTTCTTATGTGTGTGTCTCTTTATCCAAATTTCCTCTTTTTTTAAATACACCAGTCATTGGATTAGGGGTCCACCCTACTCCAGTATGACTTCATCTTAATACATTTTATCCTCAATGACCCAATTTCCATATAAGGTCACATTTTTAGGTAGTGGAGACTAGGACCTCAACATGTGAATTTTGGAGGGGAATATATTTCAACCCGTAACACCCAGGCAGTGACAACCACCTTGTGACTGCCACCTGCCCTACGGCAGTTGCAACATGCATCTCAATTTCAAAAATATTAAACGGGAAACGATGTGCCTCTTAGTATTGATAAGCTGTGGTCACATGTCAGCTGAAATTATGTGGTTGAAGATTGGGGATCACAATGTAGTTATGGATTTGGGTTATTAGTTTGAGATTCAAGACTGAGACACAGGCACATAGATCCTTCCAAGATGTGTGATTTGGGCCCCATCCTATAGTAATGCAACTTTTCAGCTCCACATCTTTTCTTATTACCTGGTATGTTACGGGTCACTTGACCTCCCCTTAAATTTTGCCTTGACCCAGTTTTTTTGTTTGTTTTGTTTTTTTATTTTGTTCCCATTGCCCAAGCTGGAGTGCAATGGCGTGATCTTGGCTCACCGCAACCTCCACTTCCCGGGTTCAAGCAATTCTCTTGCCTCAGCCTCCCGAGTAGCTGGGATTACAGGCATGTGCCACCATGCCGGGCTGATTTTGTACTTTTAGTAGAGATGGGGTTTCTCCATGTTGGTCAGGCTAGTCTTGAACTCCCAACCTTAGGTGATGCACCAACCTCAGCCTCCCAAAGTGCTTGGATTATAGGCGTGAGCCACCACACCTGGCTGCCTTGACTCTGTTTTTACTATAAACTCTCACACGATTTTTATTTTAACCTAATTCACAAAGTTTTACTGCCTGATTTGACCTAATGGGATTTTTGTGCCCCTGCTAAGACAGTTAACATTCTTTTACATATGTTAGGTAAACTTTTAGGATTTGCACCAAGTGGAATTTACAGACTGTATTTTGACAGTCTCAGGCATGTTGTTTGAACTGGTTAATGCCTTTACTTTAATATACCTTATTTTATTTACTCAGTTTCAGGATCATAATGATCTCATAGCTTTTCACAGAACTATTGTGTTCTTTTTGATGCTCAATGTGTCACTTTTTGGCTAGTGGGAGCCCTTTTAGCTGACTCCCTTTAGCATTACTCCCTTTAGCATTTATAAAACATTCTTGGCCAGGCGCAGTGGCTCACGCCTGTAATCCCAGTACTTTGGGAGGCCAAGGCGGGTGGACCACGAGGTCAAGAAATCGAGACCATCCTGGCCAACATGGTGAAACCCCATCTCTACTAAAAATACAAAAAAAAAAAAAAAATAGCTGGGTGTGGTGGCGTGCACCTGTAGTCCCAGCTACTTGGGAGGCTGAGGCAGGAGACTCACTTGAACCTGGGAGGCAGAGGTTGTGGGGAGCCGAGGTTGTGCCACTGCACTCCAGCCTGGGTGACAGAGCGAGACTCTGTCTCTAAATAAATAAATAAATAGGGCTGAGAACACTGGCTAACACTTGTAATCTCAGCACTTTGGGAGGCCGAGATGGGAGGATCGTTTGAGGCCAGGAGTTCAACACCAGCCTGGGCAACATAGCAAGACCCCATCTCTAACAATAACAACAAAAGTCAGAGTGCTAGCAGTACAGATAAAATTATTTCATACAAGTAAGACAGTGGCAGAGTGACGTCACTGCAACATAATTTTCATGACAAAGCTAGAAAAGGTGGATTTTAAAAATGAGTCATGATTTATGTTACTGATTTCAGGTAACATAATTAAACATTAAAAAAAGATTTAAAAATTGGATCGTTATTATTATTATTTTGAGATGGAATCTGGCTCTGTTGCTCAGGCTGGAGCACGGTGGCGTGATCTCGGCTTACTGCAATCTCTGCCTCCTGGGTTCAAGAGATTCTCTGCCTCAGCCTCCCAAGTAGCTGGGATTATAGGCATGCGCCACCACGCCTGGCTAATTTTTGTATTTTTAGTGGAGACAGGGTTTCACCATGTTGGCCAGGCTGGTCTGGAACTCCTGACATCAGGTGATTCACCTGCCTCAGTCTTCCAAAGTGCTAGGACTATAGGCGTGAGCCACTGCGCCCAGCTGGGTCATGATTGATGTTACTGATTTCAATCTAACTCCAATTTTACTATGTCCTTTCTGATTCTGCTTCCATTGAATCCCCTCCCCCCCTTCTACCCTCCTCTCCCCTCCCCTCTCCTCCCCTCTCCTTTTTTCAGAGTTTTGCTCTTGTTACTAAGGCTGGAGTGCAATGGTGCGATCTCAGCTCATCTATACCTCCGCCTTCCAGGTTCAAGGGATTCTCCTGCCTCAGCCTCCCGAGTAGCTAGGATTACAGGCATGTGCCATCACACCTGGCTAATTTTGTACTTTTAGTAGAGACAGGGTTTCTCCAGGTTGGTCAGGTTGGTCTGGAACTCCTGACCTTAGGTGATCTGCCCACCTTGGCCTGCCAAAGTGCTGGGATTACTGTGGCATGAGCCATTGTGCCCGCCCGCCCTTCCTTCCTCCCTTCCTCCCTCCCTGCCTCCCTCCCTGCCTCCCTCCCTCCCTCCCTCCCTTCCTTCCTTCCTTCCTTCCTTCCTTCCTTCCTTCCTTCCTTCCTTTCCAGCATCTTCCTCTGTTGTCCCGGCTACAGTTCAATGGCACGATCTTGGCTCACTGCAGCCTCCAGCTCCCAGGCTAAAGTGATTCTCCTGCCTCAGCCTCCTGAGTAGTTGGGACTACAAGCGTGTGCCTTCATGCCCAGCTAATGTTTTGTATTTTTAGTAGAGACGGGGTTTCACCATGTTGGCCAGGCTGGTTCTGAATTCCTGAGCTTACGCAATCTGCCTGCCTCGGCCTCCCAAAGTGCTGGGATTACAGGTGTGAGCCACCGCGCCTGGCCTCCCTTCTGGTTTGAGTTTCCCCATTTTCTCCTCTTTCACATACAGTATCTTTCTACAAACTTTAATATATTGTGTTACGTTTTATTATGATAAGCCATGTGTTTAAATTAGAGCAGTGTCTACTGTTTCCGTGGTGGAATTTGGTGAATATCTACTAACATCTTGGATCCTACCTCCAACTATAGCTGTTTCTACTCATCTTTTACAATAATATGAACACTTTATACTAGAGTCACTTCACTGACACTATAAAAACATTTCTTTCTGCTACAATAAAAAGCATAAATGTTAACTAATCTTCAATAATTTTTAGAAAAGTTATACAAGATTTAGGCCCAGATTTTAAATAATGCAAACATCTGGGCACAGCTAAGCACATGCCTTTCTTGGAACTGTTTTAAAACCCTACTTAAACTTAATTCTACATTAATTTCATCTCCCAGTAGAAAATAGTTTCAGCTTTCCCTAAACTTTTTCCTAGAGTGAAAACTCTATCAAAGCAAAATCTCAGCAGATAGATTCCTTATGCAACTTCAGCTGACTCTATAAGAGGGTTGGTGGGGGTGGGCCTCTGGCAGTCTACACAGATATCCGTGTTCCAGCCTTAACTACATGTGCTTACTGCTTGCCAGGGACACGGCTTCTCACCAGTCTCAGTGGACTGCAGGGCGTCTACTCACTCAGCTCTTTTATATCTTTACATCAGAAAGAGATTGACAACTCTCCACTGGTTTCTACCTCCCTCAAATACCCACACCCACACATGCACATTCTATAGGTGAATGTTTTTCTCTTTTTTTTTAAGTGAGAAGAATGAAAGAATATGGAATACTATTTATGTATGATTCTAGCATGACTTCTCCATGACAATGTTTTTCTAAGCATAAAAAAAGACTTTCTCAAATAATTCTTAATTGCTTGACTTCCCCCCCCCCCCCCCCCCAGATGGAGTCTCTCTCTGTCACCCAGGCTGGAGTGCAATGACATGACCTCGGCTTACTGCAACCTCCACCTCTCGGGTTCAAACAATTATCTTGCCTCAGCCTCTCGAGTAGCTGCGACTACAGGTGCACACCACCACACCCGGCTAATTTTTGTATTTTTTAGTAGAGATGGGGTTTCACCTATTGGCCAGGCTGGTCTCGAACTCCTGACCTCGTGATCTGCCCACCTAGGCCTCCCAAAGTGCTAGGATTACAGGTGCGAACCACCACGCCCAGCCAATTGCTTGACATTTAACATCATAATTTGTTTCAACATTAGTCTGCATTAAAATGTGTATGATCACTCACTACCTAAGAAATTGTTGCTTTTATAGGACTTTAGTCAGGTTTGTGTTGTGTTGCACTTGTGGAAATGTTTAACAACTAGCTCTTTGTTTTAAAAAAATATCCCCCAAAACAAACAAATGATAAAAAAACAAAGGGCTGATGTATACCATTTGCCAATTCCTGTGGTGTAAATAGGAGTTAGTGGAGATTAGGACCTCAACATGTGAATTTTGGAGGGGCATACATTTCAGCTCGTAACATGCAGGCAGTGACAACCACCTTGTGACTGCCACTTGGCCTACAGCAGTTGCAAGATGCATCTCAATTTCAGAAATATTAAACAGGGAAACAATGTGCCTCTTAGTATTAATAAGCTATGGTCACATGTCAGCTGAAATTACTTGATTGAAAATTGGGGATCACAATGTGGTTATGGATTTGGGTTATCAGTTTGAGATTCAGGATTGAAACAGTCCCACTATTGTCAATTTCAAGCTACCAGTGTGACATCACGGAATGCAGAGTAGGAAAGTGATGTGTGCTGTTGGCTTTCAGGAACTGGTACGAGCTGGCTGTAGCACGCCACTGCCCATTCCAGACATGTGCTTCTTTTTTGAGAAAGGATCCTGGTATTATTACCCCTCTGAACATTTAAATACACCTTTGAACTATTTTCTCTACACATTTTCTTCTAGAATTGATATTTAACTCCCAAGACAATAGTTTCTATGCAACAGTTCCCTCATAACTTCTGACCTTGTTAGGACTGGACAGATGGCAACACCAGACCTTGAGAACATTGTCTGTTCCCAGAGGAGGTCATGGAGAACTGAAAGTGAGTGAGCTGAAATTGGCTGAAGGCTCTTGTGGGTCCTGTGCATGATTGCCTTTGCTGTGGTTTGAGTTATTCTGTTTTCTGTGTGACTCTTTCACTTCAGAGAAAACTGCCAGCTGACTTCAAGGTTCTGGAAGCCTCAGATCTGGTGTATACAGTCAGCGCCCAGGAGTACTGGCAGCAGGCTCTCCTCACCGAGGAGGAAACGGGTAATTTATGTTTTTTTTTAATCTCCAGCACTAAAATTCTCAAGATCAAGTGGCACTTAAAATTTCCTGTTCTAGAACTTTTTGTGCAACACATTTTTTTCCAGCTTGCCACGGTTTCAATACCAATTGCAAATAAAGATATTTTCTTGTTTGCATTTTTTTTTTTTTTTTTTGAGACAGAGTCTCGCTCTGTCACCCAGGCTAGAGTGCAGTGGCCGGATCTCAGCTCACTGCAAGCTCTGCATCCCAGGTTTACGCCATTCTCCTGCCTCAGCCTCCCGAGTAGCTGGGACTACAGGCGCCCGCCACCGCGCCTGGCTAGTTCTTTGTATTTTTTAGTAGAGACGGAGTTTCACCGTGTTAGCCAGGATGGTCTCGATCTCCTGACCCCGTGATCCGCCCGTCTCGGCCTCCCAAAGTGCTGGGATTACAGGCTTGAGCCACCGCGCCTGGCCCTTCTTTGCATTGTTATGGTGTCAAAGACCACAATTCCTCTGGCCTCCAAATCTTAGCATGGGTTGCTAAAGGTCAAATAATTGGGTTGCCGGATGTGGTGGCTCACCCCTGTAATCCCAGCACTTTGGGGGGCCAAGGTGGGTAGATCACCTGAGGTCAGGAGTTTGAGATCAGCCTGACCATCATAGTGAAACCCCATGTATACTAAAAATAGAAAATTAGCCAGGCATGGTGGTGCATGCCTATAATCTCATCTACTTGGAAGGCTGAGGCAGGAGAATTGCTTGAACCCAGGAGGCAGAGGTTACAGTGAGCTGAGATTGTGCCATTGCACTCCAGCCTGGGCAACAAGAGCAAAACTCCATCTCAAAAAAACAACAACAAAAAGCCAGGGGCAGTGGCTCATGCCTGTGGTCACAGCACTTTGGGAGACTGAGGTAGATGGATCACCTAAGGTCAGGAGTTCAAGACCAACCTGGCCAACATGGTGAAACCCTGTCTCTACTAAAAAATATAAAAATTAGCCAGGCGTGGTGGCAGGCACCTGTAATCCCAACTACTCAGGAGGCTGAGGCAGGAGAATTGCTTGAACCTGGGAGGCGGAGGTTGCAGTGAGCTGAGATCGCGCCATTGCACTCCAGCCTGGGTGACAAGAGCAGAACTCCATCTCCAAAAAAAAAAACACTGGGTTATTTCCTTAGTCCCCTCCCACCCAGCTATGGGCATTTTTAGAATTATTTTGTGAGTGACTATTGTATATTTTGTCTGCGAGGCAGGGAAAGCGTAAGGCATGGCTCTTTCTTCACAGAACTTGAAATATGGATGAGGAGCTAATACTAACCGAAGTGCAAAAATTGAAGTAAAACTGAGGCTTAGTTAGTTGCTGCTGACCGTTGAGTGCAACAGCAGCCCGGGGAATCTAGAGCTCTGTGTGCATTAGACACTCAGTGGAAAGTGGGTGGGCAGGCAGGGTCAGGACTGCATTCTCATCTGAACTTGACAAGGCTTGCGACATGCATGCATTTTACTAGACGTGTAGGTATGTGCAAGGAAGTTAAGGAACATTAAGAAATGTTCCCAGAGATGGGGGAACTGCTTGATTAAGGGTATAAAAGATAAAATTAGCATGGCGTATGGAAGGAATAATATAGAGAAATTGCTACATATGGGAATAATGGGGAAAAGGGTAGAGTGGCATCTATTATCTTCTGACCAACAATGGATTAGGATGTGACAGGAATCCTGTCACATCTAGAATCCTGCATGTCAGAGGTGGTTCTTCCTTTCTACAGCAAGCATGGGCTATTTCAGTGTTAAGTGTTAGTTGACATAGAAAAGTCTAGGGGGACTAAAGGGCTGAGACTCTAGACTTGTGAGCACTTTGCTTTACCTCTGTAGATGATAGCTGTCCAAAGGAAAGACCCCATGTTTTCAACCAGCCTGTTTTTTTCCATGTAGTTTTTTTTATATGGCTAAGTAAAATGAATATGCAGTATTGCTGATCTACCATTCATCACTGTCATTGATCCTAGACACGGGAAAAGTGCTTTTCAGAAAGGTTGATTCTGTAGGCATCCAGCCCACTCGGGATCTCAACTCTAGTTCATTCAGACCACCATCTTGGTCTTTCAACTTTTATGAATTCTGTTGACCACAAACTTGTGGCCTTTTACAATTATTTGTACTGTCTGTGAATTCCAGAAATCCCTAAGTTAAGAGAATACGTCAGGAAGAGGCTCTTGGACAAGAAGAGGAAGATGGTGACCAAGTATGTGACTGAAGCCTTTGGCCTGTTGCTCCTCACAGATAGTTTCAGCTCCACACAAAACCTGCCGGTATGGAAGACATTGGGTTTTCATATTCTCCCCGTACCTGGGCAGGACATTTCCTTTTACCAGGTTAGAAAATTAACTTATGATATTTTTTCTTTTCATATTAAAGGAAGATATGAAGTTCAGAGAGTCTAAAAGGACAAAAAGATAATTAGAAGGTTAAAATCGTAACGTTTGGGTAAAAGATAAAGGAATAATATTTTACCTGGGACAGATGGGCTGAGAGAAAAATGTCAAAATAGTAGCTATTTTCCATCTCTCCTGAGACTCGAACAAGGTGGAGCATGCATGTTTAAGCGATGGCAGGCATGATTTGGCTTGCTTCTAGTGGAATACAGACTCTTCTTGGTTATCCTGGAGAGGCATGCTTATGTACACAGTCCAAAAATATTTCATCCGTTTCTGGTGCTGTCAGAATCTCAAGCTCAGAGGAGCGTAGGAAAATAGTGTGAGAGGATGGAAGCTCGGAGGGAATTTCAGTAGAGTTTTGATAGTTATCTTCACTGGCAAGAATGCAGGCCTTCTGAAAAACTAGTTAAAATTACTTTTCTCATAGTAATTGACATATTTATCTCTTCATGGATGATTTCTTTTTAACCCTAAAATAAGAGGAATAAGCTACTAGATTAGAGACTTGGGGAGTTTTGGAGAAAACCTCTTACCGTCATCAGTCACCAGCTGTGTTGTCTCCTTATGAGAGATGGAATATACAAAGACAGTGGCTGGACCATGTGTAAAAATAGATCTCTGACCCACCACCTGCAGCAATCTGCCCAGAAACCAACCTCTTATCCACAATAAACAGCCCAGGAAGCCTTCTGTCTGTAAGTCAGACTTGCAGGAAGTCAAACTGCTATCTCTAATAACAATCCAGGAGGTTGAAGAATAACTCTGTTAACAATCAGCACTAGATGGCCAGGACTTGATGAATAACTTCCCTAATCTCTTTCCCTGCTTCCAACTTACTACCAACCGGAAAAGTCAAATGTCTATAGCTAACCAACCACATTGGCTGCTCTGCTTTTAGCTAGCCCATCTCTAGTGTCCCCAGGCCAACAACCTCCAATCAGGGCACCCCTGAAGCCTTTCCTTTTGTCCACCATGAAGCTTTTCCACTCCCCTGCCTGCTTGTGAGTCTCTGCTAAACTCAAATAATGGTGGCCGACTCCATTGCTGTAGCGAGCTCTGAATAAACAGCCTCTGCCTGTTCTTATTTGGTTGGTCCTCACTTACTTCCACACTTGCCTTCACCCGTCAGATGTGCACAGTCAAGGTGTTTGTCTTCTTGTTATGCCAGAACAGGGAAGAGGCAGAGGAAGTACATGAATAGGGCTCTGTGAGGGGTCAAGGAGCTGATCCTGAGGATGGGGAAGGTGGGCCAATAGTGACCCTGTGGGGTGGCAAGGGGAGGCAGACACTCGAGACTTGACTTCCACGTTGGAGTAAGCAGTGCCACCTGGAGCCTTTGGTTGTGTATAAAGGCTTGTAAAAAGGCTTTAGTGGTGTGGGATCTTTCTGCTGCATAAAAGGGGCATATAGAGCAAAATTCAATCTTTTTTAAATCATATTTCTTATGGCTTGTTTTGGTCTAGTTATACAAGACAGAAACAAAACCAAACTCTTGGAATGTGATATTTTCTCATTTGACTTTTGTCTGCTGAAATCGTTGGGGAAGGATTTGACCTTCCAATTTCCCAAAGCAGTTCTTCAGGGTGAAATTTGTCTCTCGGCCCAGCACAAGATTGCTTTTGGAAGTGCTGATGGAAAATGAATCCGAGGTGGGCCATGTGTGGTTGGTGTATTTTACAAACATAAGGACAAGGCATTTTGCCATCAAGGCCGGAAGTGCCCACCCCACGTGCTTTTCTTTGCTAATATGGAAGTGCAGTGCTCAGAGGGGCTCAGATTCACCCTTGCAGCCAGACTCCAAGCAGCAGAAAACACAGAGGAGAAGGGGGCTGACTGGCAATTCTGCAATAGCTGTGTTAGGGAGTTGCTGGCAACTTTGCTCAAAATTCCTTGGCCTTAGATATTGGTCTTACTCTTAGCTCTTTGATAGAAAGTTGGAAGGCAAGAATTTGTCAGTTCCTTTGAATTTTGAAAAATCAAATCTAAATATGTGTGTGATTGATTTTTTTTCAAAGATGATCACTGAAACCAAAAATTTAGAGTTTGAGTAGTGATTTTAAATAAGCAATCATTATTTTTAAGAATTCATAGGAAGTTGATGATTGCATCTCAATGTCAAATGAAGTCTGCGTTTATTCATACTAAGGGCCAGCTTCTCTGTTTCTTATTGTTCTTTTGTTCTCCACCCTTCCCTTTCTTATCATTCTTTTGTTTATTCAAGAGAGATTTATTGACAGTGAGACATTGTGAGAATCATGCCCATAGTTTTTGTTTTCATGACTTCTTTCTTCTTTCATTTTCATCACTGGTGACAACACAAATTCAAAAGAATCTAAAGGATGTCCTGGGAAAAATGCTTTGTAGAATTCTTAATGGTGAAAATGAGGAAAATTCCCGGGGTGCACCGAATTCTAAACAGTCTCCATAAACTCTAAAACGTATTTACTCCAAGATTCACCAAGTTTTAGAGTGTGAGATTGTTTTCAAGATCATTCAACCCAATTCACTTACTTTAAAGATGATACCGTTGAGAACCACAGAAGTTAAATTACCTATATCATGTCACACATCAGTTCGAGAGCTATTTCTGTCTATTTGGAATAGAATTTAAAAGCCCAAATTATCTCGCAGTTTCTCTGGGCCATGCATTCAATCCAGAAATGTCTGTGGGTTTTGCTGTCTGTGCTGTGCCCTAGAATAAAAGAACATGACTAAAAGCCTGTTCCTTTGGCAAGTTTCTATCCAGGGAAGGAGACACAGGGAACGAGAGAGAAGTCATATGACAGGAGACGTGCTGTGGTGCAGGACTGTGGGAAGTGCAGTGGGAGAACAGGACAGAGAGCCCCACCTCTACCTGGGCACTCAGGGAAGGTGCCTCATGGGAAGGACCTTTGAGCTTTGTCTTGGGAAGAAACAAAGATGAAATCAGCAAGGCCCACAGGGCACAAGACGAACAGCACACTTGCGGAATAGCAGCAAGTCCAGGGGTAGCTACTTGGCAGGACATGTCGGGCAAACAGGGATGGTGGTGCTGGAGAGGTGGGGTGAGTTCTGGCTGTGAAGTGCCTTAAGGCCCAAGCTGGGGAGTGTGGCTCTGTCTGCTGCAGGCACTGTGGGGCCCACCAAGGTTCCCATGCAGGGAACAACACTATGGGTTACCAGTTTGGCACTGTATTAGTCCATTTTCATGCTGCTGATAAAGACATACCTGAGACTGGGTAATTTATAGAGAAAAAGAGATTTAATGGACTCATAGTTCCACGTGGCTGGGGAGGCCTCACAATAATGGTGGAAGGCAAAAGGCACGTCTTACATGGTGGCAGATGAGAGAAATGAGAGCCAAGCAAAGAGGGTTTCCCCTTATAAAACCATAAGATCTCATGAGACTCATTCACTACCATGAGAACAGTATGGGGGAAGCCAACCCCATGATTCAGTTATCTCCCACCAGGTCCCTCCCACAACACGTGGAATTATGGGAGCTACAATTCAAAATGATATTTGGGTGGTTATACAGCAAACCATATCAGGCACCTAGGAGTCAAGGCTTTCTCTGGTGGTCACTTCCTTGTATTATTTGAATATATGTTTTCTCCCTGATTAGACTGTATTCTTTGTAGAACGAAGCATGGATTTATTTTTGTGGTCCTGTAGCTTTGCTATGCGAAGTGTGGTCCATAGCTCAGAAGACCAGCATTTCCTGAGGACTGGCTAGAAATGCAGAATCCCAGGGTCTTGGATTTCGGATTTTAAGATCTCCTGTTGATTTGTATGCACATTAAAATTTGAGAAGTATTATCCTTAAAAACTGCTTGATGCAGAGTCAAAGCTTGTGAAATGTTTGTTGAATCAGATGTCATTGGAAAAACCTGTTTTAATAACAATTGGATTTATATGTGAATAGCTACTTCCCCAAATAGCTTGATGGATTATACATCTGAAATAAGTTGCTGAATAAGCAGAGACTGTGATTTTTAAGAAGTGAAATAAGTTGCACCAGGCAGGTATTTGTTCTATTCTCTAACGCCACAAAGGGGTCTGTGCACTGAGTAAGGTCTTATGGGGACAATAAAGAGAAGTCAGCTCTGAGTGATAAGCTGAATCTTGAGCTGGTGACAAGCTTAAAGGAAGCAAAGCTGGAGGAGAAGGTGCCCTTAGGGAGGGGGTGGCCTGATGCTTTTATGGTCCTTGTCCCTAGAATGAACACTTGCACATGAGTGTCCTGCGGAGATTTGCGGAAGAGAAGGTTGAGCTGCTGGAGAAGGCCATCGGGCAGTGCTTCGCCTGCATGGAGCAACCTCTACAAGAAGGGGTCAGGACCGCCAGGACTTCTTACCGCTGCATCCTCAGGGCATGCTTGGTGGTGAGTGACCCCTCCAGGAAAAACTCGGATATTCCAGGAGGCCTGCCCAATCCCCAAGCTCCTTTTGCATCACCCCATTCCCTTCAAAAGAGATAAAAAGCTAGAGGGCCAGGCACGGTGGCTCACGCCTGTAATCCCAGCACTTTGGGAGGCCGAGGTGGGCAGATCACAAGGTCAGGAGATCAAGACCATCCTGGCCAACATGGTGAAACCCCACTTCTACTAAAAATACAAAAATTAGCCAGGCGTGGTGGCACGTGCCTGTCATCCCAGCTGCTCGGGAGGCTGAGGCAGAAGAATCGCTTGAACCAGGGAGGTGGAGGTCGCCGTGAGTCGAGATCGCACTACTATGCTCCAGCCTGGTGAGAGAGTGAGACTCCATCTCAAAAAAAAAAAAAAAAAAAAAAAGAGGAGGATAGCAGAGAGTGAAAATTGTAAATAACAGTTGTTCATCTGTGTCTCGAAAGGACCAAGGAAGGTGCACAGTTCAGCAAAGACAGAGTGGGAATCTGGTATCTGAGGGTCTTGGTTGGAGTACCAGCTCCACCAAACATCCACCCTGTAGCCCCAGGCAAAGCCCTAGACACATTTTTAAAATTTCTTGGTTTTCTTCTATAAAATGAGGATGCTCAATGCTTGCCCTACCTATCTGGTAGCATTGATGTCTATCAATTAGCTTACACAATAAGGAAACATCTTGTAACCTCTCGCTTGGCATTCAAATTGTGGTTTTATATCTCAATTAGTTGTATAGAGTTTCTGAAGGATGAAAATATAAGTGCAAGGCAGTATTTATCTAAGACTAAGGGGTGAAAAAAGAGGCCCATTGTATTAGTCTGCTTGGGCTGCCATAACAAAATCCTATAGACTGGGTGGCCTGAACCACAGACATTGATTTTCCCATAGTTCTGAAGGCTGGAAGTCCAAGATCAAGGTGTCAGCAGGGTGAGTTCTGAGGCCTCTCTCCTCTTCTGGAGATAGTAGATGGCCACCTTCTTGCTGTGTCCTCACAGGGCCTCTTCACTGTGCACGCACACTCCTGGGATCTCTTTCTCTTCTCAGAGGGACACCACACCTGTCAGATCAGGGGCCCACCTTTATGACCCCATTTAACCTTAATTACCTCATTACCAGCTGTGTCTCCAAACACAGTCACCCTGGGAGTTAGGGCTTCGCATATGAATCTCAAGGGTCACACTTTAGTCCGTGGCACCCATTAAGGGGAAGATGTGATGGACAACACTGCTCATGTAACAAAGATGACTTGGTGTCCCCTGTGCTGGGAGAAGGGCATGGATGGTGTGTGGTTGTAGTTTTTAATGGGCCTTGGAAAGTTGGAATGTAAGCAGTAGAAAATGTGTGAAAAGGTGAGTGTGATGGGGTGGTTAGCTTCCTGGAGGCTTTTCTATGTGCACCAATGATACCGGCTTTCTAGCACCTGACCTCTTCTGGGTGTTGTTATCTGTGTGCTTTGTGAAAAGCTTGTTTAAATGTCTAGATGAGCCTGAGTGTGGTGGATCATGCCTGTATTCCCAGCACTTTGGGAAGCTAAGGTGGGTGGATCACCTGAGGTCAGGAGTTTGAGACCAGCCTGGCCAACATGGTGAAACCTGGTCTCTGCTAAAAATATAAAAACTAGCCGGGTGTGGTGGTGGCACCTATAATTGCAGCTACTGGGGAGGCTGAGACAGGAAAATCGCTTGAACCTGAGAGGCAGAGGTTGCAGTGAGCTGAGATGGCGCCATTGCAGTCCAGCCTAGGTGAGAGAGTGAGACTCCATCTCAAAAAAAAAAAAAAAAAAAAAAAAAAAAAATCTAGATAAGTAGGTGCATGTGCTGCAATTTGGATGAAAGGAAAGGAGGAGATTCCTCTAGCACAAGACAAAGAATAAATGCTGAAAGAACCAAGAGTAAAGGAGGAGATAAATTGAGGTGATTCTGGGGTCACTGGGGAAAGTGTCAGTGTGTGGACACAGGAGGATGACAGCTGGAGTGTCTTCCATGCAATTGGGCATGGATAGCTAAGTATCCATGCGTATAATATGTACGCATGCGTGCACTCAGTCAGCAAATGTGAGCAAAATGCTGACTGTGGAACCAGATACTGCATGTTACCTTATCTGATTCTCACAACCATTCTGTGAGGCAAATGCCCTTATTATTATTTTAATTTTACAGCCTTAGAGAGACTAAATACCTTCTCCACAGCCATACATGGACTCCACATCTAACCCAGGCCTGCCTAACTTCATAATTGGACACCCAACCCTTGCTGCACTCGCCTGTTGCGTCTCCTAAACTACTCTGCAAACGATTGCAGCAACTTGTAGTTGCCAACCAGTTATGTAGTTTAACATCCATAAATCCCCGTAAAAGTACACTTTGCTGCATTCATTCATTCATTCATTTCTGCAAGTAACAAGGACTTTGGAATACAAGGCACGGTTGCCAAGAGGCTTCGTATCCCACATGGGCTCTGGTTCGTACCTCAGTTTCCCCATCTGTCAGGTGTGTGACTGGGGACAAGTTACTCAAACTCTCTGTGCCTCAGGTTACTCTGTGTAAGTTGAGGACCATGGTACCTATGTTATAGGGTTGCTGTAAAGATAACTTGAAAGAATGACCATAGCGGGATAATGCTGGGTTGACCAACGCACTCAGCGTAAAGAGAGTGTCTAACAAGTCAACTGTTTTTCTTATTAGGTTTCAGGGATAGAAGGATACATCCCTGCTTAAAATAGTTAAGAGAGCATTTGGGGAACTATAATAAAAAGGAGCATGCTGGTAAGGACCACAGGACAGTCAGAAAGTTCTCCAAATGTTTAGAGAAGGGAGAGCATTCTGGTGGGGGCTGTGGCAGTCTGGAATCTTTTGGCTGCAAATCAGAGTCCCTAACTGAAACCATTCTTAGCCATGAGGAAGTGTATTGGCCCACGTGCCCAAGAGCCATGGGAAGAGAGGGCCTAGGGGATGAGCTGAATCCAGTGCCTCTGTGGGCCCCATTCTCAGGCTGCTTCTCTCATGATGGCAAAATGGCTGCAGCTGTTCTTGCACTCACATCTGAACACCATGAGCTCTGGAGCAGGGTTTGTTAACCTCAGCATGATTGACAGCTGGGACCGGATCATGCTTTGTTGTGAGGGGCTGTCCTGTAAATTGCAGGTTGTTTCGTCCCTGGACTCTACCCCCTAGGTGCTGGTAACAGCCCTCATTCTTCAGCTGTGACAAAATCAGTCCCGGTTGAGAATCACTGGTCTAGAGGAACAAGGGAATGGCCGTTTCCAGGCCCACTTTCAGAAGAGTGGAGAACCTTTTTGAGAAACCTCAGCAAAGCTCTTACTGTGTTTCTTTGGCTCTAAGTGGGTCACATACCTATTTCTAAAATGACCCCTGAAAAAAGGGAATGTCTTGTGCTGAATAGCTCAGGCCTGTGTGTGTGTCCCATCCTGGGGGCAGGAATAGAGTTCATTTTCTCCATAACAGAAGGACTAGGGAGGTGACACTGGAGAAGGAGGGGTGGATATTGGAAAAGAAATCGCAGGCCAGGTTAGAGGACAGTTCACTAAACGTTCTAGAGAGGAGGTTGTTGGAACCTGGCCCTGGAGGATGGTGGTGTGTCTTTGGGCAGAGGAGTGGAGGGGCAGGGAAGGCATTTCAGGGGAGGAAGGCCAGAGCTCATGTGGGAGCCAGAAGGTACCACCTAACTGCAGCGTAAGTACACAGGGCAGGGTTTTGGGGGATTAGGCTGACAGTCAGTTTGCTGCAGACTTTAGACCAGGTTGAAGAGTTGGAACATAGTAAAGTTTTGAGCAGAAGAATAGCTTCATCACAACTAATGCTTTGGGAAGCGTAATGCTTGGGGAAAAACTGGAGGCAGAAAGCCTGGCTAGGAAGTGTCAGGGTCTAACTGAGGTCTGAGGGGAGTCAGTGGGTGAGTGGTGGGTAGCTGGAAAAACGAGGAATCATAGACAGTTTTGACATGGCTTTACTCTTTCTCTGGGCATGAGCAAGTTGCATGTACAGCATTAGCAGGATAATTATATCTTTTATAGACAATAGTGATTCTGAGCCAAGCACGAGCTCATGTGGGTGATCATCTAATGCGCCTCATGTGGCGTGGTTACATCATGTACAGGGCTGTGCACCTGTACTCCAAACCTGCTGAGTCATGCTGTGCCAGAAGAACTGCCTCGGCCTACTCCTGACTAAAGTGCAGCCATTTCCCTTATGGTAGCTGCTTCGTTGAGATGAGACACAGTAAAGTCTCAACAAAGGTTGTGGCAGACGGAATAGGAAGGAAGAGGTGACTGGGAGAGCAAATCTGAAGGACATCTCAGTCAGGATTGTCAATAGTTCAGACATGGGGGTGTATGGGAAAGCAAGGTGGCAACATTTTGGGGAAGATTTGCACCCAAGAGAAAGCAAATCACCTCAATTTAAAGAAGATCTAAGGAGATATGGTAGGGAGGAACTTATCCGTTGGTTGGGGAAGCAATATGATCACTACTGAAGATCATGTATTTAGTGTTTCATGGAGGTGGAATGTCTAATGCAATGATGGAAATGTGGAACTGAAGCCTGGAGAGAGGTAGGGCTGGAGGATGTAGCTGTCACTTGCATGGAGTTGACGCATTTATACCAGTGAATGGGATTGAGGAGGAGTGGAGACAAGGACAGTGATAGGACATTGCCTCATACAAAGACCACGTTAAAGAAGCAAAATAATAAAGAGGGGCAGGGAAGGGGCAGAGACAGAAATGCCTGAGAGGTAGCAGAAGGAAATCGTGTAATGCCTATTTTCTTATTTTTATGTTTATTTTTAGTGTAATGCTTAATTTCTTATTTTCCAATCAGAAAACTGAAGTAATAAAGTTTGTTAAGGCTGAGTGCAATGGCTTATGCCTGCCTGTCATCCCAGCACTTTGGGAGGCTGAGGCAGAAGGACTGCTTGAGGCCAGGAGTTCAAGACCACCCAGGCAACATAGCAAGAACCTATCTCAAAAAGAAAAAAGAAAAAAAGTTGGGCATGGTGGCATGCCCCTGTAGTCCCAGCTTCTCAGGAAGCTGAGGCAGGAGGATCACCTGAGCCCAGGTGTGAGCTATGGTCGTGCCACTGCACTCTAGCCTGGGTAACAGAGAGAGGCCCTGTCTCTTAAAAGAGAAATAATAAAGTTTGTTAAGAAGAACATCACATGCTCCTGAGAGGTAAAAACCAACCAACCAACCAACCAGGGTCATTGGATTGGGCCACTGAGGGTTTCACTGGTGACTGTGCTAGGCAGCCACCAAGGGTCCTCACCTCTGGGTATTTATGCCCTCATGGAGCCTCCCCCACATTGAATCAGGGCTGATTTCTGAGCAGGAGAATGCTGCAGAGGTGATGGTGTGTGGCTTCTGAGGCTAGGCCATCAAGGGCCATGGAAACTTCCATGGTGGCTCTTGGGTCATTTTCTCAGGGGGACGCCTTTGTGTACTGAAATTGAGCCACTGTGTGCAGAGGTCACATGGAGAGCAACTAAGGCCCCCACCTGAGGCCAGGAGCCAGCACCAGCATGCAGCCGGGTATCTTTGGAAGCAGATCTGCCAGCCTCACCCAGATGACTATGCCCCCAGCCACACCTGACCAAACCTCAGGAGAATCCTGAGCCAGAGTGGCCAGCCCAGCCATCCCAGGCCTGACCCACAGAATCCCCGAGAGATGACAGGTGTTTGTGTTTGTTTTTAAGCCCCTGCACCGCTATGTCTGGGGTAATTTGTTTCATAGCAATAGATAACGAAGTTACCTTGGATAGAGCTGTTTCTATCCCATAGTTGAAGAACGCAGATTACAGAAAGTGAGTGAGTAAGTGGGAGCTGAGAGGACAAAGGCATGAGGCAGAGACCACCCTGTTGAGAGTTTGCTGTGAGCGGAAGAAGCCACTGCAGACATTTTCGGGCATCTCCAGGGCTTTACCCCCCTAACTGTCCCCTCTCATCACCCTTTTAATGACTTCTTCCTCTGTGACTACAAACATTCCCAAGGTGCTCCTATCAGATAAACAACGTTTCTTTGAGATCAGAAATTTGGGAAGACATTTATATACTAATACCATATCATTATTTAACATAGGAAAATAACCGCAATGTCTAAGAACAAGAGAGAGGTAAAATGAATTATTTTTCATCCATACGATACTATATTAAATGGTTATTAGTGCCATTTTTGGAGCCTTTTTTTTTTTTTTTTGAGATGGAGTTTCGCTCTTGTTGCCCAGACTGGAGTGCAGTGGCGCGATCTTGGCTCACTGCAACCTCTGTCTCCCAGGTTCAAGCGATTCTCCTGCCGCAGCCTCCTGAGTAGCTGGGATTACAGGCATGCGCCACCTTGCTGGGCTAATTTTTGTATTTTTAGTAGAGGCGGAGTTTCACCATGTTGGCCGGGATGATCTTGAACTCCTAACCTCAGATGATCCACCTGCCTTGGCCTCCCGAATTGCTGAGATTACCGGTGTGAGCCACTGCACCTAGCCTGGAACATATGTACAATGATTTGGGGATATTCTCATATTGTAATACTAAGTAAAAAGAGCAGAGAAAAAAAAAGAATTATATGAATTATACAATGCTATGTGGCCATTCCCTTAAAACATATATCATTGATTAAAAATCACAGAGCTCTCTACTGAAATTTTAGCAAACACATTTTTACTCTCTTTACTAATGATTACCATCTGGCTGAAATTGATTAATGTCTGTCATAGGTCTAGCTTTATATTTTTCTTTCCTCTCATTTGTGTATTTATTTCCCTGGGAAAAAAATATCGCCAAGACATACAAATCAAATTGTATTCCATTAAAAGTTTAACAAAAAGTTTATGAAATCTGGACTCTCCTTAGAAAATTCAAGACATACACTTATTGTCGGGTCATAGCACATTGGCATTCATTCATTTATTTATTCATTCGATAATTGCTCATTTAGCAAATATTTCTCAAACACTACTTATGTTATTGCCAGAAGTTGAGGACGTAAAGATGGATGAGACACTGCCTGATCTCAATGAGCTGATGGCCAAGCACAGGAGCCGGACAAATGAGTAAACTAACACAAACAGAATCGCTTGAGAACGGTTGTGATCAAAGTGAGCACAGGGACCTTAGGAAGCCCATGGCAGGGGCACCCAAACGACCTAGAGGCATGACCACTGTCCTCCCTCATTTAGTTTAATCATACATTTAAGGAGCATGTTGTCTCGACCCTTTCCTGTGATTCTTGGTAATGATCTTTGGCCAGGGCAATGCAATTCTAATCCAGTGACCTTCCAGTTAATGCCTGCTAACTCTGCTAATTTACTGTTGATTATCTAGAGGAGTAAAGGAAACCAAGGTTTTCATCAGACCCTGAAAGCTGTTTGCCTGAAAAATGGCATCTATGCCTCCAGGACTCTGGCAAGAATTGATCTAAACGAAGCCCTCACTCAGCCCATCTATGACCAGATCGACCCTGTTTTTGGAAGCATTTTTAGGTAAAGGATCTTTCATCTTGCACCTTTGGGAACAAACATCAGAAGAACATTGAGCCAGTCTTTAAGAATTTAGACTTTGGATCTGTAAGTGTAAAGAGTAGCTTGTAACTGGAGAAGGAAAGCTTAGTCTTCGGCAAAACACAAAAGCCTTCTTGGTTTGGTTTACTTAAAAATTTCCCATGATGACCTGGATACAGATTAAGATGCTGCTTTCAAACTAATATTATGGTTCCCATTATTTTTCAAATATCTCATACATGCAGCAGGGGATACATTTTCTTGGGGATCTGAGCCCAGGACAGGGTATTTTGATTGGAGACAGTGGAATTAAGCAAACACATGGCCTTCAGAACTTTCTTTCTTCCTTTTTTTTTAAAAATGAGACAGGGTCTTGCTCTGTTGCCCAGGCTGGAGTGCAATGGCACAATCCTAGCTCACCGCAGCCTCAGACTCCTGGACTCAGGCAATCCTCCCATCTCAGCCTCCCAAGTAGCTGAGACCACAGGCATATGCCACCATGCCTGGCTAACTTTTAAAAAATATTTTTTGTAGAGACAGAGTCTCTCTGTGTTGACCAGTTTGGTCTTGAAATCCTGACCTTAAGTGATCCTTCCCCATCGTCCTCCCAAAGCGCTGGGATTACTGGCGTGAGCCACCACACCCAGCCTCGGAGCTTTCCCTGAATGCACTGAAGATGCTGTGTCTGTTTCTCACACACTCTGCCTGCTCACATACATGGTGTGGGTTTGGGGACCATACCTCCTTGGTGCCTCCTCCTTCCCTCCTTCCTTGACCTCTAATTCTTTACTCCATCAACAGAAACAGAATCTCCCAGTCCCCAAGTACAGCTGCCCATCCCTAGTCTCTGTCGTTCCCACTGGCATCTCATGTGGTTGCCCATTGGTGGCTGCTCGAACCATTCTCCAGCCTTTGCTTGCGTCTTACTCAGAGCCCCTGTCCCTGCCCCACCTTTCTTTAAGCATGTCTTGGATTGTGTCATTCCACCAATTGCACCCCCGCCCTGTTTACAATTCTGTGGGCTAAACTTCAAATTCCTTAGAATGCATTCAAGACATTCCACCTGCCTCCAGCTTGCCTTTCCAACCTCTGCCTGCACCGCTGCCTGGTTGCAGCCTTCCGCTGTAGCCCACCCAGCAGGTGGCAAAGAGAGAGCAGCTACCTGTCCCGGACATCAGTGCTAAGCACTTGGCATGCATTCACTCATCGGATGTTCCCAGCAACTCTAAGGAGTAGCTTCTGTCTTTTTACATCTGAACAAACTGAGATTCAGAAAATTGTGCATCTTTCCCAATGGCACCCAGCTCATGAGCAGAGAACTAGGATTTAAAGCTTGTGCTGTCTCCTCTGCAACCTCTCACTTCCTATTTCTGAGCTATTCTGAAACCACTGTGCTTACCATGTTGTCCCATGGGGAGTAATCCCTTCTTTCCACTTCCTCAGATCTTACCCAACTTTTAGGTATAGTTCAAGTTCCACCCTTTCAAGTGGCCACACGTTGGCAGTGGAAAGACTGTGCGTCCTGCAGTCTAAAGCAGTGTTCCAAGCCTGGCTCTGCCTCTTGCTAGCTGTGTGGCCTTGGACACATCAGCAATCCTCTCTGAACCTCAATTTTCTCACCTGTTAAATGGGCATTATCTCACAAACTTCGTAGGTTTTTATGTCAAAGGCCTGGCACGGCATAGTACCTGGCACGTTATAGGACTATGATAACTGTTAGATCTCATCTTCCTTCTCCTAAATGAATAAAAGGACACCAGCTAGTTTCATGTTTGTTTCAGCCTTACCATAGCCACCATTCTCTTAAACTTTTTTGTCACTTTCTTCTGTAGGACAGGGAAGCCCAATGGTTCAGCTCTGATGCCTCACATTGATGCTTTTAAGCACTCCCTGCAGGAGAAAATGACAGAAATTGGGATAAGAAGTGGCTGGAAATATGATAGCTGCAAAAAAAATTTCCTGATCCAGGAGGTAAGTTCCATATAAAGTGGGGAGAGCAGTGAGGTTGGGCATGGCTTTGTTCCCAGGCTGGTTTTGTAGGTTGCCTGTCTGTTCCCGCTTGTTCCCTGGAGTGTCCAGGGTCTGGGAGTACCTCCTCGGAGGCGCTGTGAAATACAGAACCCAATGGGATGTGGGGAGAGCAGCGGGCATGACTGCCTCAGAGGAGGTGTGGGACAGTTTGTTCCACTGTGAAGTAACTGAAAGCACATGCCAAGGTTGCAAAGTTGACTCAGTTTCCAGGAAGAATCTTTAAAGAAGCCTTAATTGTATGAAAATTTGCATCAACTGGAACCATTTTCACTAGTCTATCATTTTTGCCAATGTTATAAAGTAGTATCCGATGCAGTGAAACTTAAAGAAGTCAATCTTTTTGTTGTTGTTCAATTTTAGGTCAATTTTCAGTTTTGAGGCCTCAAGACTCTTGTCTGTGACTCACTTTCTTCCAGTGCCACCCCAAATTACATGGCGATGCTAGGGAAAGAGCTTGTATCTCCTCTGCCCCCCAGGGAGGGCCCATTTCAGGACCTTGCCTGTGCCTGAGTTCAACTCAGCAAATATTTATTGAGTAGTTTGTAGGTGCCAGGCACCAAGGGAAGCAGTTGGGGTATAAAGATGCTTAGAACAAAGTTCCTGCCTATGAGAAGCTCACAGCCTAATTGTGGAGATGGCAGACAAACAGCCAGGCATCCTATAGGGTGGAGGGAATGGTGGCCACGCACTGGGATACCTGACCTGCTTTCATTGAAGGAATTGTCACCAACAGCCTCTTTTGCACGTCTTCCCAGATAAGCGCCATCCTGGGGGGCCTGGAGGACCACATCCTCAGAAGGAAGAGGAGGGTCTATGAGTCCCTCACCGCCTCTGTCCAGAGCGACCTGAAGCTGTGTTACGAAGGTAGGGGCCGAGGGGGACAGCATTGCCGCCTGCACTGGGACTTCCTGTCAGCACCTTTCACATCCTTTTCTGCGGCTCCCTCAAAGGCCCTGTTCTCTTGCACCCTAAGTCTTTGCAGCTCTCTCAGTCCACACATTGCAACCACATGACTGCAGGGCGTGAGGACCCTTCTCTGTCTGTTTTCCAGCTCTTTCTGTCCACCCTTGGTCCAGACACCCTGCTTTTTTCCATACAACATCCCAGCTGATTTAGCTGTAGAATCCAGTGTCCAGGTTCTCATTCTTGTTTCCAAGTATTCATAAATACTTGAACTCACTCACTTGTGAACTCACTTTCAGACTCTTTCCTGTTTTGATGGCTCCATTGTTTGAGGGGAGTGATTTTGCAAGTTTCAGCTGAATTCAGTCATTAGATTTTCTGAATGCCGGTTATTATCTAAATATTGAAAGTGTTATTTTTATATAAGTGCATATATATACGTACATATATATATATAAAAATTTTTTGTTGTTTGTTTGTTTGCTTGGCTTGCTTTTCTTTCTAATGCCAAAGATTTCTTTCTTTCTGTTTCTTTTTTTTTTTTTTTGAGATGGAGTCTTGCTCTGTTGCCCAGGCTGGAGTGCAGTGGCAGTGATCTCAGCTCACTCCAACCTCTGCCTCCTGGGTGGAAGCAATTCTTGTGCCTCAGCCTCCCAAGTAGGTGGGATTGCAGATGTGCACACAGCACCCAGCTAATTTTTGTATTTTTAGTAGAGACAGGGGTTTCACCATGTTGGGCAGGCTGGTCTTGAACTCCTGACCTCAGGTGATCCGCCTACCTCAGCCTTCCACAGTGCTGGGATTACTGGTGTGAGCCACCATGCCCGGCCATGATGCCAAAGATTTCTAAGCAGGTCCTTGTCATGGTGTGACTGTGGCTATCATTTTTGCCAGAGGCAGCTCAGATCACGGGCAAAAAAGCATGTGAGCGGATGAAAGATGCCATCAGAAGAGGAGTGGACCGGCAGGTGGCTGAGGGCATGTTTGAAAGGGCCCAGGAGAGGATGCAGCACCAGTTTCAGCAGCTGAAGGTACTCTATGCCCACAGCCTAGATCCTAGACCCCGAGAGGCCCTGGGAGAGGACAGGAAGCGGGCGCAGAAGGTAGAAGACGTAGTAGGCATTTGGGCCCAAATGGAACAGATGCTTTCTGGGGCTTCGACCTGAGAGCTGCAGCTCTGCCAGCACTCTCTTGCGCCCCTCCTCTTTCCTGAGTCACCAGTAGCATAGCCACTGTAATAGCTAGATATGTGCTCAGCTATTTATAGACGTTAGCTCATTTACTCCCCAGCAAGTCTGTGAGGTAGGTACTATCATTGTTCCCATTTTATAGAGAAGAAAATTCCAGCAGCGAGAGTTGTATCAACCAGTCACACAGCCAGGGAGATGCACAGCTGGATTTGGGATAAGGAAGCCTGGCTCCAGCATGTCCAACAACAGCATGATCTCAAAACAGATTGTTTAAATAGGGAAATGTCTTGTCTACATAAAATGTCAATAAGTAAATATCAACACACTACTCAAGGCCAGTCAGTTATGGTACCTAGCACACATTCAGCTTTAATTTTATCTACCCCCAAAGACAGTTCCTGATGCTTTCCTTGGACCTAAATGCTTCTGCCAAGCCTACCTGGACCATCTTGCCTCTGCTCTGGGCCTCATGGCTTGCCACCCCCTCTCCCCCAAGTAGTAGAGATCCCTGAAGTCCATGCCACTGTGGGCTTCCTCCCTGGCCACGTGAGGCTCCACGTTTTCTGCCTCAACCCAGGCTGGCTGATCCTGTCTCCCAAGCCCTCAAGGAAGCTGGCCCATTTCTATCTCGGTCCACCTCAGAACCAGCCTTCTTGAAACATCTCCAACCTGTTTCTGTCCAATCTCCTCTCCTCCACCACTTCTGCAGTTTTGGAAAATATTCTTTACAATTCAACACATGTAATTTCCCTTGGAGTAGGCTAAGAGGCATCTTGTTCACCAGCAGCAGTTTAGTTTCAATCCTTTAACATGTTATCACAGTCTACAAATTCATGGACAAGAACTTGGCCGAACTCCACAAAGCCAGTTCCCGTTTCCCCATTGCGTACATAGACACTGGATGTTAAGACACCCAGGAAACAATGTCGCTTAAAAAACGTGTATATTGACCATGTACAAATGTATCTGAAATTACAGAAACATAGGAAGTTAAAACTGGGCAGGACCATAGAGTGTTGCCATTCTGTGATTTTTTTTTTTTTTTTCAGAATGCCAGTTAACTTTTAATTGTTTAAAATATTTTAGTTCTATATAGTGGATGAAATTTCTTTTTATACATAATGTTTGAAGATTTACTGTTTTTTAAATTACCTCTTTGCAATAGTCCTGTAAATTAAACACTGGAATAGTATTTTGTTGAATATACAGATTAGTCTCTGATCTATTGATCAGTAATGTGGCTTGCTGCTTCGTTTTCACTCTAGTGTGAGGTGACTGCTTCTCCTGGTTTAGGAGCTGTGAATCCCTCATTCCGTGATCTTAAAGGAAGTGGGAACCTAGAGGCCTTGAGTTACAGGTTCCAGGCCCATGCCTAGAGCTGAGATGTACGCTTAGGGCTCTTGATCTAGAATCTAGAATGTTAAAGAAAAAGTATAGGAGATCCAACTTCAAAACTAGGCTCTGCCAGGCTAGAGGAAGGAGCCTGACATTTTTTCAAAGGAAGACAAGAAACAGAAGAGGGAAGAAAGGAGTTTTAGTTGATAAAAGGACTAAGAGTAGCAAGAAGACAGTTCTCAGGCAGTTGGGAAGAATCAGACATGTACGGTAAGGTGAGTGGCACAGAGCAAGTGTCCAGCAAACATCTCCCCGGTGAGCAGATGCATGGAGGGGAGAGCACAGCGGGAGAGCAACCAGCTCTTTCCCTCTTTTCCCATCTCTTCGATTGCCGTTCTCTCCCCCATGCCTTCATGCTTCCCCATTAGCTCCTGATTTGATCCGCTGGCACCAGAGCTTCAGCCCCCCATGAGTCTGTAGGTGGGGAGGGAGATGCTATACAGATGGGAGCCCACAGAAATGTTGTCTTGCTGCCTCCTGGGCCATTTGATGTCCTCGAAACTGTTTCACCATTTTGCAACTGGGTTGCAAAGCCTTACTTTGACAACCCCAGTCTGTACCTTCTGTGGCTGGGGGACTGGGTGGGGTCCCTTTTATAAGATCCACTTTTCCTTGGGCTGCACCATCCTAACATACTGAATGTCCTTGTCACGTAGACTGGGATCGTGGAGAAGGTGAAGGGCAGCATCGCCACCATGCTAACCCTTGCTTCGTCCCAGGGGGATGGCCTCTACAAGGAGCTTGCAGGTAAATACGCCAAAGCTTTGCATAAAGGGTGTTTGTGCAGACAGCCCTGGCTGTGGTTCCTCCTTCCTGAATTTAAAGGTATTAAGTTAGGAAGAATTAGCAGGGCAAGGAATGGAGATGATGATGATGATGATAATGATAACGATAACGACAGCCCCACCCTTTGCCCAGCACCCAGCTGAGAGCAGGCATTATACTCAGGCTTTGTGCTCATGGTTTCACTGAATTCTCACATTAGCTCCCAGGGATAGATGTTGTTGCTGCATTTTGCAGAGGCAGAAATAGAGACTCACATTAGGAAATGCGCCCAAGGTCTCATAGCTGGAAAGCGGCTAATTTAAATCCACAGCTCTGCCCTGCCATCTCCATAAGGCCTTTCTTTTAAGTTGATGCCTCCTTATGAAGAACTTCATGGTCTGGTGATGGTGGAGAAAGACTTCTCTCAATCCACCTGCAGCCTGGGGATGCGGCCCCAGCTGTGGACCTTGGTGTAGGCAACCATGTCCCTTTCTGGCCATGGGCTCCATCAGGCCCCCGGTATAAACTGGAGACGGTAAACTGGCAGAAAAAGCAAGTAAGTAATTTCTAGCCAAATTTAAAATGCACATATCATTTGGTGCAGCAACCCTGCAGATATCCTTATATGGGGGGAGATTGGCATATAGACAAGGTTATTCGGGGTAACATTCTAATGTCAAAAATGGGGACAACTCAAATATCTGTAAGTAAAGCACTGCTTAAATTAAATTAAATACACAACGAGTGGAGGACTGTGCAACTGTTAGAAAAAATAAAGCATTTCTGTAGGTAGTGGTATGAAATGATCTCCAAAGATATTACAAAGTGGAAAATAGCAAAGTGAGTAAATGTACATGATATGTTGCCATTTGTGAGTGTGGAAAAAAGGAAATACATATGTATATGTTTGTATGTGCATAAAAATCTCCATGGGCTACAGAGAACACTGACAGTACTTGTTGCCTCTAAAGAGGGGAACCGGAAGGTTGGAGCGTAGGAGAGGGTGGGGAACCGGAAGGCTGGAGGGTAGGAGAGGGTGGGGAACCAGAAGGCTGGAGGGTAGGAGAGAGTGGGGAACCAGAAGGCTGGAGGGTAGGAGAGGGTGGGAGCCTTGCTCTGCACTCTGTATATTTTGTGCCTTTTATATTTTATGCCACATCCATAGTTGCCTGCTGAAATGAATAGATCTGATACCATCGAGTTTGCCAGGGTGAAAGTAGACAGAGCTGTTCCCAAAGTCACAGCCACAATGGCTGCTTCTAAAGATCTGTTCTGCACTTCTCCATCTCTCTGAGAATCTTTATGCCCCATTTATGGCTGGTTAGATGGACCTCTAACCTGATCCTAACGGACTCCAGGGAAGGAGATACAACACCCTCACACTATAATGTAGTGGACTCTCACGACCTTCTGTCCAGGCCTCTATGGGAATCTAAGTTTTAAGATGCTAGTCATTCCAATGTGCCTTCTTTAAAGAACTCCCGCTTGCCAGAGATCTTGACCAGGTCTCACAGAGACCTTGACCAGGTGCTCCCCTCAGTTTGATGTCAATTGTACCTGCTATAATTTAAGCCTATTTCCTTCTCTTCACCATCGACAACAAATATACATCATGTCGAGGGTGGGGGGCATGCTTTATACAGAAATCTAAAAGGCAGTCCCTGTTGTCAGGGCCTTAAGACATCTTGTTGGTAAGACAAGATGTGTAAGAATGTGCATCATTAGACTGGAGAGTTTGCATTCGCTCAGCAAACAATTCTGATCACCTCCTGGGTGCCAGGCAGTGTTCTGGGTGCTGAAGACACAGTGGTGACCAATACAGGCAAGAGTCCCCACCCTCATGGAGTTCACAGCCCAGTGGTGGAAGGCAGGCAGTAAGCAAACTAATAAGTGAGATATGTGGCAGGGAGGCGAAACAGAGAAAGGGAAGAAGGGATGCTGGGGTAGGAGACAGGGTGGTAAAGGAAGGTCTCCCTGGGAATGTGACACTTAAGCAAAGTCCTGAGGGAGAGAACCCAGTCAGACTTCAGATCGTTATTCTTGAAGTTCAGAGACAGAGTGCTTATTCAGGGCTGGGACACGGGGAAACTTCAGTGAAGCTGGGTCCTGGGGGAAGCCTCAAAGGTTAGGTTGATTTCAGAGGCAGCAGGGAGAAGGGAGGCCTTGCAGGTATGGGACAGAACAAAAAGACTCCGGGTCCTAACTCCCCTCTGCTCATAAGGCCCATCCCTGGCCAGGCTCAGGGCCAGTCAGCCTGAGTCACCCTCTGGGGTACAGAAAGCCAGGGGGGATTAGAAAGGCATTCAGGGCTCAGTCTGAAGTGTCCCTTCAAAGGGGACTGCATTAGTCAGCATCCTCCAGATAAACAGAACCAGCAGGATGTGTGGATAGATGAAGGAAGAGATTTATTTTAAGAAGTTGGCTCACACAATGGTGGAGGCTTGGTGAGCCCAAAATCTGATGCAGGGAAGCCCACAGGACGGAGACTCCAGAAAGAGAGGCAGTTCGAGTCCAGAGGCCATCCCTGCAGAACCAGGCAGAGCCGATGTTGCAGACAAAGGCCCAACCAAGGCTTGGCCAGGTGCAGTGGCTCACGCCTATAATCCTGACACTTTGGGAGGCTGAGGTGGGTGGGTCACTTGAGGTCAGGAGTTCAAGACCAGCCTGGCCAACATGGTGAAACCCTGTCTCTACTAAACAAAAAAAAAAAAAAAAAAATTAGTTAGGCGAGCTGCTGGGTGCCTGTAATCCCAGCTAGTTGGGAGTCTGAGGCAGGAGAAGCACTTGAGCCTGGGAGGCGGAGGTTGCAGTGATTCAAGATCATGCCATTGCACTGCAGGCTTGGTGACAAGAGCAAAACTCCATCTCAAAGGCCCAAGGATGTCACTGGATCATCCCTTCCTGCTTGGGGGAGGCTGGCCTTTGGCTCCATGCATGCCTTCAGCTGGCTGTTTGAGGTCCACCCACACCGGGGAGGGCCATTTGCTTTACTTGAGGTCTACTTAGTTAAATGTAAATCTCATCCAAAAACACCCTCCCAGAGGCATCCAGACTCACGTTTAACCCGGTGTCTGGGCCCTTTGACCTGGACAAGTTGACACATAAAACTAACCATTGTGAGAACATGATCTGATTGAAGATCATGGGATGAAAACCTGAGATGCCAGAGAGAGAACATTCACTGAGAATGGGTTGTGCTGGGAGGATAGGGATTGGGGTGGGGGGAAGAGGGGGAGCCACCTGGAGAGGAGTTAGGGGAGGTGTTATTGTGCAATGTGCTTTGTATATCACATGCCTGTGAGGCCTTAATACAGACTCAGTGACTTCTCAGGGTTTTTCTTATGGGTAGGTTTGTATTTCTTTTGAGGGTGACCCCATGCTGAGACAGCATTCCAGTAAGAGGAGGAATACCTGCTTTGATGTCTGATCTGTAAGCACTACGCCAGATCCATATTCTGGGACAAGTGACAGGATTGTTGGGGGATTTGCTTTTTGGAGATGTTTCTGCAACGGACGCCAAGTCCTGATGTGAGCTTTCTGCTCTCCTGTAGATGTCGGGAGTGAATACAAGGAGATGGAGAAGCTGCACAGAAGCCTGAGGGAGGTTGCGGAGAATGCACGGCTGAGGAAGGGCATGCAAGAGTTCCTCCTAAGGGCATCCCCCAGCAAGGCTGGCCCCCCTGGGACATCACTGTAATTCCTGGGGCTTAGTCTCAATGGATGAAAAATAAGCCCAGAGCCAGAGAATTAGAATTACTTTTTTTGTTCTTAAGAGACAGGGCCGGGCGCGGTGGCTCAAGCCTGTAATCCCAGCACTTTGGGAGGCCGAGACGGGCGGATCACGAGGTCAGGAGATCGAGACCATCCTGGCTAACACAGTGAAACCCCGTCTCTACTAAAAAGTACAAAAAACTAGCCGGGCGAGGTGGCAGGCGCCTGTAGTCCCAGCTACTCTGGAGGCTGAGGCAGGAGAATGGCGTAAACCCGGGAGGCGGAGCTTGGGGTGAGCAGAGACCCGCCACCTGCACCCCACCCCGCGGGGCAGAGCCAGACTCCGTCTCAAAAAAAAAAAAAAAAAAAAAGAGACAGGGTCTACCTCTGTTGCCCAGGCTGGAGTGCAGTGGCACCATCACAGCTCACTGCAGCCTTGAATTCCTGGGCTCAAGCAATCCTTCAGCCTCAGCCTCCAGAGCAGCTGGGGCTACAGGTACAGGCCACCAGCCTGCTAATTTTTTTTTTTTTTTTTTTTTTTGAGACAGAGTCTTGCTCTGTCGCACAGGCTGGAGTGCAGTGGCGTGATCTCGGCTCACTGCAACCTCCGCCTCCCAGGTTCAAGCAGTTGTCTGCCTCAGCCTCCCAAGTAGCTGGAATTACAGGCATGCGCCACCACACCTGGCTAATTTTTGTATTTTTAGTAGAGATGGGGTTTTACCATCTTGGCCAGGCTGGTCTTGAACTTTTGACCTCGTGATCCACCTGCCTTGGCCTCTCAAAGTGCTGGGATTACAAGCGTGAGCCACCGTGCCCGGCCCACACCTAGGTAATTTTTTAATTTTTTGTGGAGATGGCATCTTGCTCTGTGGCCCAGGCTGGTCTCAAACTCCTGGCCTCAAGTGATTCTCCCACCTCAGTCTCTTGCACTAGGATTGCAGGCATGAGCCGTCGTGCCTGGCTCAGAATTTTTTCTGTTTTGTGAAATCTAATAGAGGACTTCTGTCCACTATTTGGACTTTGAATGCAATATAAAACTAGTATGTTTACTACATACTAGTAGTAAAAAGAGTCATCTTCAATACCTAATGGAGTTCTAAAGCTTTAGGACAAGAAACTTTTGCTTCCTCAAAAATATCTAAACATCGCTGGGCGCGGCGGCTCACTCCCATAATCCCAGCACTTTGGGAGGCTGAGGCAGGCAGATCATGAGGTCAAGAGATGAGACCATCCTGGCTAACACAGTGAAACTCCATTTCTACTAAAAATACAAAAAATTAGCCGGGCTTGGTAGCATGTGCCTGTAGTCCCAGCTACTTGGGAGGCTGAGGCAGGAGAATTGCTTGAACCCAGGAGGTGGAGGTTGCAGTGAGCCAAGGTAGCGCCACAGCACTCCAGCCTGGACGACAGAGCGAGACTACGACTCAAAAAAACAAAACAAAACAAACAAACAAAATATATATATACACACACACACACACACACATACACACACACATAAAAACTTAAACATTATAGAAAAAACATTTCTAGATATAAAACAAGCCATAAAAAGAAATTCATCCTTCAAAGAAGAAAAATATCTAAACATTGAAAAACTTAAGTATTATGGAAAACATTGCAAAATAAAGCTTTTAGGAATCCAATTCTGTTTTTCATTTTAATACTGATGAGACTTTGGGTAAGGAGGCAGACAACATTGTATCCTGGAAACAAAATGGGTTTGGGAGCCAGATGAACATAGACCCGGCTTCACCACTTCTCAGATGTGTTATCTAAGACCAGCACTTCCTAAACGTGTTGATCTCAGGACCCTTCACTTTTAAAGGACCCTGAGGAGCGTTTGTTTATGTGGGTTATGTCTGTTGATATCGACTATTCAAAATTAAATAGGAGAAAATGTAAGTAATTATTTACTAAGTTTTTTAGGAGTAACAATAATAAACCCATTACCTGTTAACAAAAAATAACACTTTGTTATGTAAAAAGCTATTTTCAAAAAAAAAATGTACTGAGAAGAGTAACATTGTTTTACACTTTTGCAAATCTCTTTATTCCCTGGCTTAACAGAACACAGCTGGATTCTCACATCAGTTTCTTCATCCACTCTGGTGCAATATGTCATTTTGGTTGATGTATATGAAAAAAATTCAGTCTCACACAGATACACAGTTGGAATACAAGGAAGTATTTTAATAGCTTTTTCAGGTAATTTTGGGATTTTTTTTGATTCTACGAAGGCAGATGGCAGTTTCTTAAAAGTTATATGCAGTGTGGAATCTGAAAGCATTATCAGTGAACATTTTTCAAATGCTATTACATTACATTAAAATGCATTGGTTGATTTTGTACTTTGAATTTTTTTACTAATGCATGATTTTGGGGTATCAGGCATTGCTCATCTTGAAAATATTTATTCACTGAGTTAAGCAGATATTTCAAATGTTGGTGCATTTTATTGTATAACACCACGAAATCATTTTGTTAGTATCTTCACCAATCTCATCAGGAAAGTCTTGAAGTATTGGGAAGCTGTCAAGCTCACAGTGAAAAATATAAGTTTTACAAAATTCCTTTCCTCCCCAAAAGCTCATCATTGATGACAAACATTGTCCTACAGTATAATAAAATGACATCTACACAGGTGTCCATAATTAATGCAATTAATAATATACTGTTTCACTTAGAACATTGTAAAGTCCAACTGGCTTTTTAAAAGCCCTGCAAGTTCATGATGGTGAAAAATACAAGAGTTTTGAATGTAGTTTGGTGCCACTGCTTTGGTTCATGCCAAGGTACAAGTGGTTTTACCCACCTTTGCTTTTACACCTTTAGTACAAGTGTCAACATGGTAGAAAAGGCAAATAACATCTTAGTATTATTATAAAGATAATTTAACCCAGCAGACCCCACAGAAGAGTTTCAGGGACCATACTTTGAGAACAGCTGTCTTAGACATATCATTTAAACCCCCTGAGCTTCAGGTAATTTATCTGTAAAATGGTGACAATGGTAGTACCTACCCTGATAGTACTAGGGTTGTCAGGAAGTTTAGGATAATGCTTACAAAATATGGACACATTGTACTTAATAGTACTTGATAAATAGTCAGTATTGTTTATGGGCAGAATGGAAATAACATGGTTTGGTGGTTTGTCTATTGGGAAACTTGGGTTCTGATCCCAGCTCTGACCAATACTAATATGGCAATTCCTTAACACCTCTGAGATTTTATTTCCTCATATGCAAAAGGAAAGAGATGAACTGGATGATTAAAACATCTTTTGCTCCTTTGAAATTCTAGGATTTTAAGTTATTTTCTTTTAGTTGTAGTATCTTTTGCCTAAGTAGGAGAAAAAGGGATTTAGCCATGTAGTTAGGTCTCAGTGGTTCCTTTTCATATTAAACTTCTAAACACATAGCGTTCTATGGCAGTTTGTATAGTTCACTTTTCATATTTCACGAGAGGGATGTAGAGGACTTCCACCTCCCGCCATGGTGGAGTAACAGGACCAGATTTACCCTCTAGCTAAACAACAACAACAACACACAAATGAAAATTATGAAACAACAATTTTTAGATATGGGAAAATAGCACAACACAGTTATCCCTGAAAGAAGGGAGAGAGATAAGGTGACGCCTACAATGCCCTATCTTATGCCTTGGTTGAGTTTCCAGGCCACAGCATAGGGAGGGGAAGCCCCAAAGGAACTGAGTGGTCTCCGTGAGTTTAGCGGACAGACATCAGAATTTGAAGAGTCAGGTGATTAGAATTCACAGGGAAGATTACCATGGAGAAGAGAGCTGAACAGAGAGCTACAGAGAAGTGAAGTGGGTCTCCTTTGATTCTTTATCTGAGTACTGATTAGCCTATGCCCGTGAGGAAACTATCAAAAATGAGGAAAAAACCACTGGAATGAAGCAGGCAGAAAAGTCCCCAAAGCTCAGTTCAAGCTAGATTAATGATAGTGGAAGACCTTACACGTGAGGCATCAAGTAGACTGATCAGAAGAGTATTGCCTTAGTAGTGGGGACAAAATAGTCCTAGATGAAAGGCTGTTATGCATCCACCTAATAACGGTTTCAAAAAACTTCAGAAGAATCATACTGTTTCCAAGTAACTTAGCTGCATCCCAGAACAGAATATGAAAACATTTAGGAATAAAAAATTCCAGCACTCAACAATGGAAAACTGACAATGTATGGCATCAAAACAAAAACTTTCAGGCATATGAAGAAGCAGGAAAATATGAACAATGATGAGAAAAGTCAATAGAAAGAGACCCAGAAATAACTCAGGTGATAGAATTACTAGACAAGGTTATTAAAATTGCTGTAAGAAATTTACTCCAGATGCTCAAGAAGATAGAATACAGCGCAAACACGATGAGAAGAGAAATGGAAGAAGTTTAAGACTCAAAAAGAACTTGGAGAAATTTAAAAAGTCTCAGTGTCTATATGGGATTAACAGCAGACTAGGTAGGGTAGAAGAAAGGATAAGTAAACTTGAAGACAGAGCAATAGAACTTATCCAAAATGAAACATAAGGAGGAAAAAAATGAACAATGCATCAATAAAACATCAAGCACCCTAAAATATGTTACTAGAACCACAGAAGAACAGTAAAGAGGTGGGGATATAAGAAAAGATATTTAAGAGAATAATGTCTGAGGTTTTCCCAAACTTGATAAAAATTATAAACCTACAGATCCAAAATGCTCAATGACTCTGAAGCAAAAGAAAAATAAGAAAAAATTACACCAAGACACATCATAATCAAATTGCTGAAAACCAGTGGTGAAGAGAAAATCTTAAAACCAGCTGGGTGTGTGGAGAGGGGGGTGAGGGGGAGGCTGCAAAGGCAGTGGTGGATAATACATCCAGAGGAATAAAAACAATGACAGCAGACTTTTCCTCAGAAACAATGTAAGCCAAAAGTCAGTGGAGTAACCTCTTTAAAAATTGAAGGAAAAAACTGTTCATCTAGCAAAAAACATTTTTCAAAAATGAAGTGAAATAGACTTTTCAGACATACCGAAGCAAGTACCAAAAATAGTAAATATGTGGGCAAATATAAAATACTTTTTCTTATTTTTCTCAAATCTATTTAAAAGATTGTTTAAAA